ATTTGAAAAGCTACTTTCCAAGTTTTACTTTGAATCAAGGCTTATAACTTCTTTCAAAGTTATAATTTTTTGATAAATTAAATAGAAATCAACATACAATCTTAGTCGAGATATTATTAGGTACTAAATGTAAATACTACCTCCGGTCCTAATTATAAGAGTTAGTTGACTAATTTAAGGAGACTAAAAAAGTAAGTTGAGTTAGTTATTTGTTCTAAATAAGTGTTTTCTTTCCTAAAATATGCTTGCTAATCAAATGTTTTGGTTATAATTACTATTGTTAGAAAGACTACTTTGAAAAAAAATGTATAAATAAAAGAGATAAAATGGATTAAGATCTTATATTTAGAATTAAAATAAAAATAAACAAAATTTTATATTAAAACCAGAGGTAGTACTTTTTTAGAATGGGATTTAAATTTTAATTCTTTATATTGTGAGAAATTGACTTTTTTGACAGTTTTACTGTCCAAAAACAATCCCAAAAACAAGAAGAAAAAAAAAGGCCCTTTATTTGCCTCTCTTTAGTCTTTATGGGATGCTGTTAGGACAACGGAGGACGAGGCCCAATATCTATGCGCTAGCCCAAAAAGTGGTTCGAGGCGATGAAGAGACCGCTGCATGCAACTGTAAAATTAAATCTGATGATTTGGATTTAACAGTTCTTGAATTTAAATACTACTTTTAGGGAGAGGGAAAAAAAACTCAGGTCAAATTACTTATATTTATTATATTAAATTTTCCAATGAAACACAGTCATGCGTCATTTTTTTATTTTATGTGAATTTATAATTAAACATTAATATTTTAAAAATAGGATATATAGTTATTTGTGATTAAAAAACTTAATATAATGTATATAAATAACTTAATATAAGTATTGTCTCTATTTTATATTGTTAAAAATTAATGAACGGTTAATAAAGCAAGCCAAGAGGGGCATGGGGCAACCACATCGTCATGACCTCATCCACTCCTCAGTCCTCAGCCCCAAACGTCCACGTCCATATCCTTTTTTCTCTTAATTATTAGCCCCTGCCCAGTGCCCTCAAATCATGTTCCTCTCTCTTGCTTTATTTGTACCCATTTTTAAATTAACTCTGGATCCATTCCTTCCAGTCCATTTCACTGGGAACCAGGGTCCTCGCTGAACTCATTCTCTGCTTTTCTTTCTGTAGGAAAGAACGACATATCTGCAGCATCACTGTACTTGTGGCATGACATGCCCCACTCAGTGTTTCTATCAGAAAATTCTGTTCGTTCAGCTAGTTTAATAAAGATAATGTCAATTACGCCAAACTTATTAAGCGGCCTAAAGTTTGCCACATAAACTTACCAAGTCATATGGTTAAATGATTATTTTGTATGAATGCTTATTTCACTACAAGTTTAATTTGGAATTTACTTTCCAGCTGGGATTGATGTTCGTTTAATTTATATTAACCATTAATTCCTATTCATCACAAGACAACTATCATCATGTATACTGTTCATCCATCCAGCTCCAAATGTATGGACTAGTAGGGAGAACTGGTTTGGCTTTAGATGGAAAACTCTAATTTACTTTATTTCTTGAAGCTGTAATTTGCTCCTTGAATTATCCCCGTTAATATACTTATGGTGGGGTTTCTATCATGGATGATTCATAATACGAATTACTAAAAAGATGTTATAAGAAACTAATACACGTTTTTTTTATAAAATAATTAGTTTAGCTAATTTTTTCAGCATCTACAAATTAGTTATTTGGCTGCTACATGAAGACTGAGGGAGCATATAATGATGATTATCTTTTTCCATCTAGTGCATATAAGTAACAATCTAGCTAATCCTCCTCTGTTCTCTCACAAACTCTGCATCATATTAGTTCTGTTCCATGATTTTATTTGGGAATGGTCTGTTTAATCCAAGGAGGGACCTGTGTATATGGGCAGAATAAATCTTCAAGGAAAGTGTCATAGAGCCTTGCTTAAATATTCTGAAACTCCTACTTAGCCAACACTAAGAAATTTAAAGACTTTGCTGTGGACTATCACCTAGTTCAGTGTTCTCCATCTTTGCCATCGAACACAGATTTGTAAACTAGAACGGCTGCTTTGTTAGTATGATATCGCCATTTGGCTAGCTGTCGCTTGAAATCACGGATGTGTACATCTACACGCATACACACTGACATGTTGCGTGTTTGAGCGTTAAGATTGTATTGAATGGTGCATAAACCAGAAGGGCCACTAAAAGAGACAAAACCATCTTGGAGACCTTGCGAGTTGCGACGAGGATAAACCACCAGGAAAGAATTAGAGGTATGAGATTTATACAGTAAATGTGTGTGGTGCGAATAACGATAGAAGATCGGGGGACAAGTTGTCATTGCTTCGCTGGATTGATTTATGGTGAGATCCAAAAACAACAAAACCCGGGTTTTGTCAGCAAGTGGAGTGATTAATGAATGATTTCGATATGTGGAGATTCCAAGGTTTTTTACCCATTCTAATTGGGTGTCCAGGCTTTATTATGAGAGTCAAGCAAGGGATGATTTGCTCCGCGTTGCCACGACGCACCAAAACCCAGGCTGATCCCATTCACCGAAGTTGTTGAATAAAACCTCTTGGTTAATAATATATTAAGAAATTTGATTGTTAATACAGAGTATAATTCATACAGTCAAGTCCACTGGTGAGATAAAATTGGCCGGGAGGTTGTACTTTTCCGGTTCTTAATTACTGAGTTAATTTTGATTCTAAATATAAGATTCAATTTTTAAATTTATCTGTTTTTTTTAATTATCCCTATTGATACTCTTCCAATCATAATCAAGTGGAAAAGAGAGGGATGATATTACGGAAGATGATCATGATATTTTAGAAAAATATATATCATGTTTATTATAATTAACTAACTTAACTAATTTTTTTAATCTAATCAAATAAATCTTATATTAGGGAAGAGAGGAGTATCATTTGAAAAATAAAATTAGCTTCTATGTCATATTTTTTTCCTCATTAGTTAATCTGATCTCATGATAAAATACTTACACATTTTATTTAAATTTGGTTTTTTGGGCACATTCATATATAATACAATTAACGGTTAATTAGTTTAGTTTTTTGCAAAAGAAAAAGAGACACGCCCATAATCTCATCTTTCATTTAGAATGGATAAAAGTCATGATATTTTGGTAGAAAACGATTTAAAATCTTGCTATCTCATCAAGTATTTTATTTATGCTTTTAAATTTTTTTTCCTTCGGTGAAGTAGTTGAAGCATTCTGAGGGAGTTTAATTGTTTAATACGCTCTCTCCTTTAAGATATTGGAGGCAAAAATCAAATAAAATTATTATCTCTTTTCGAAATTTCGAGAGCGTAATATATGGACTCCTCTGAACTACGTTTATGTCATAAACGACAATTTCTAGATAGCGGCTCTTGCAATTCATGACCATCTGATTTAGTACCTCATCAAATAGTATTTCATTAGACTCGGACAATTGTTTGTGAATTAAAATAAAAAAATGATGCAAATTCTATTTGGAAAAATTAAACTGAAATTGATTAAGAACTCGACAGAATTATGCTGAAATTATACTCACTAATATTTACCATGAATAATATTAAAATTTAATTTATTTTTGGTATTTATGAATTACAAAAATAAGAGCATTCCCGATCATTTTTCCAACACATTTTTATTCTTACTCGTTTTATAACACACCTTCTCTCATCTCCATGGCTCTTTATTCTTCTAAAATTCACAGACCATATAACAACTAATTAACAATGACGAAAAAAACTCATCTTAAAAAAAATTAAAAGAAAAATATCATTTTGCAATATAAGGAAAAGCCGTCAACTTGCAAAGAAGAGCCGTCATGAGAAATCCTTTTGGCAAGGAGACCCATCCAAAATTGATCTACTCCTCTTATGTTTGTAATAATTTTGTCATGAACTGACAAATAAATCAAATCTTGTTGATGCCTAATTTTAAAAGTACTAACCACAGAAGAGGCTGCATTGAAAAAGTAATAAATGGCGCACCGCGCACATCTGTCCTTAGAATTCACAAATAGAATTTTCGTAACGCTTCGAAGTAAGTTCTAAAATGTTTTATCATAATCGGCACTAAATATTAATTAATTTAAGTGAATCCATATATATATATACTCCTCCGGTCCTTATTATAAGACCCCATTTGACTTTTTATTTGGTCCTAATTATAAGACTCCAATCCATTTTGTCTCTTATATTTATGCATTTTTTTCCAAGATAATCCTTCTAATAATGATAGTTTTAGCCAATATACTTAATTAGCAAGGATATTTTAGGAATGACAACACTTATTTATTATAAATAACCAACTTAACTTACTTCCTTAATCTCCTCAAATAAGTCAATTGGGTCTTATAATTAGGACCGGAGGAGTATATATTTATATTTTCTTTGGGAATGAGATATATTTTCTCATTACCATTTTTTTTTTTGGCCAACAATCTTTTCTCATGACTCAGCTAAGTTAGCTTAATATATGTATAAATGGGTTAGTATAAATTTTTATCTCTCAAATTTGTTTTTATTTTGATTTTGATCCTTCAAATTTTAAATTATAGGTTTTGTTTCTTCACGTTTTTTCATTTATAATACTAATCTCTATAATCCAATAAAAATTTAGACTATTTTATTTGTTAAGGGACTAAAACTTATAACTTAAAATTTGAAAACAAAAACTAAAATGAGAACCAACTTAAAGGAAATAAAAATTATATCAACCTTGTATGAATATATTAAATCCTAACCTTTTTGCCGCCTGAAATGATGGTATATTGAATTATTGATTGATGATTGATTTCGCGGGGATGCATGGAAATTGGGGAGAGCTGGTGGCAAAGTGACGAATTTAAAGAAGTTGACTAGAATGAGCGGCAAATTTTAGAGGTTATTTTGGTAAAAAAGATATGCAGGAAAAAAAAAATATCGGGAAATGCATTGAACGGCGCACACAATCGGATTGAAAATCTAAAATTAAGCTCCCTCTTCTCCGCTCACATCACACTTGCGTCTTCTCCGATACAATCGTCTCTGTTTCTTCTTCTGCTTCTTCGTATGCTCCGTCCGTAAGTCCATTTTCAACCTATCCAATCCAGTCACACCCTTTAAGCCTCGTAATGCTTGAATAATGCAGCCGCCGCTCCTCATGGTTCTGCAACTACAATGACCCAGAACTTATCGCTCCTGCAATCAGAGGAAGATAACAAGCCATATCCTGGTCCTCGTGGCGGAGGAACGGCCATGAGAGTGATTGTGCCTTTACAGGGAGTTGTTCAAGGTAGAGGAGGCCTCTTTTTGGGTTCAGTAATTCCTTGTGCCCTCTTCTACTTCCTTCAGCTCTACTTCAAGAAAAGCCATCGTACTCCCCCCAACTCGCCTCCTCCATCTTCCTCTCCCGACGCCAACTCTTCTTCCCCGTGTTCGCCATCTACTTCTTCCGATAAGCTTACAGAGGTCGCTATTTTGCCCCGCTCGCTTTCTCGAATTCTTCTATCGCCCAGGGGTTCGTCCTCCGTGCCGTATCTCTCCTCTCGGGCCAATTCCATCGTTAAGGCCGAAAACTCTCCTTATATCCTGCGTCTGCAGAAGGTTAGCGAGGACTCGTACCACCTAACTGATAATCCGGATGGTGTTATTCAGCTTGGTTTGGCTGAAAACAAGGTAAGTACCGCTTGGGTTTTGCTTTCTGATTACTGGGTTCTTTTCCTCTTTCAATTGTCCTGCTCGGTTATGAGAAATGTGCCCGAAGAGTTTCTCGCTGTTTGTAGTTATCTCTGGACTTGGTTCAAGATTGGCTTGTGGAGAATGCGAGCGGGGCTATATTGGGAGGCCAAGAAGATTGCAGGGAGTTGAGCATCAGCGGGATTACGGCGTACCAACCGCATGATGGATTGACGGAATTGAAAGTGGTAATTCAGACAGACTCTTTCTCTTAGTTCCATCTGATATTATTTGCTGGTCTGGCTTGTTGCACCTGTACAGTTATGAAAAGTAGTTGAATTCGAACTTTGAAGCCAGTCACGGTTAAGGCGTAAATCGGGCTTCTTTTCAGTAGAGACTCGCGTCACTTGCGAAGTTTTGATGTGCCTCAATTTGGCCTTTTGAAATTAAGTCCCTCATGAAATTGGGTGAAGAATGCTCTGAACTTGTATTATTTGACATGTATAGCTACATAATGCAACACATAGAGAAGGCAGCAATGAGTCAATGCTGCAGGGCATTATTAGAATACTTACAAGGTAATAGGATGGTCGGTGAAAGGAATTGGAGTTGTTTTGTTTGGCATCAGGCTTATGGAGACACGATGACATGATTGTCTCTGAACCTTTAATGTTACTCATTTAGTGGTTTTTAGACTTCTAATGAAATATGGAGTCGAAGAATCACCGTTACTTTAACAGTAGAATTGTTTCAAAACTAAGCAGAATTGCCACCTAATTTCTTAAGAATATTAGCATCATGCGCTCTTCATTTTATTGACAATAGTCTGTGTGAAAAAAGACCTCCCCCCACTTCGTATATCCAGAGATATATACCTCATGTTCCGCTGTCCTCCATCTTCTTTCGTGGTATTTGTCGCATGAAAGTGACTTTGTAGAGTCTCATCTGTTATAAATGATTAAATGCCCAGTCTCTGGTGTGAGTTCGGGATGGCCATACTTGAAATGTACCTCCTAGAAGACTACTTTTAGCTTGTAAATGATTGTGGCCTGATTTTCTAATGCTGCAGGCTGTTGCAGGTTTCATGTCTCAAGTTTTGGAAAATCCAGTTTTGTTTAACCCCTCTCAAATGGTACTAACCACAGGCACTACCCCTGCTCTTGAAATTCTTAGCTTTTGCTTAGCAGATAGCGGAAATGCATTTCTCGTTCCTACACCTCATAGCCCTGGGTAATTATTAATTTCCTAATTGAGACGTCATCATTTTTACCCCTGCTTTCGTGCAAGAAGTTGAATATTTTCAACGCATGATGCAGCTTTGATAGGGATATAAAATGGCGAACTGGCCTGGAGATGGTACCTGTTCCCTGCCGCAGCACTGATAATTTCAGTTTAAATATAACTGTACTTGATCAAGCCCTCAAGCAGGCAAAGAAACGTGGTCAGAAAGTCCGTGGAATGATAATAACAAATCCCTCAAATCCTGTTGGAAATCTGTTGAACCGGGAAACATTATATAATCTTCTGGACTTCGCCAGAGAGAAGAACCTCCACATAATATCTAACGAAATATTCGCCGGGTCTACTTATGGTAATGAGGAGTTTGTGAGCATGGCAGAAATCCTGGAAACACAAGATGCTGACAGAGACAGAGTTCATATTGTATATGGGTTATCAAAAGATCTTTCTGTTCCAGGTTTTAGGGTAGGTGTTATCTACTCTTATAACGAGAATGTCCTGGCCGCATCTAGAAAACTGGCAAGGTTCTGTTCCATTTCTGCTCCAACCCAGCGATTTCTTACCTCCATGCTTTTAGACACAAGATTTGTTGAAAAATTCAATGAGGTTAATCGATCAAGGCTACGGAGAATGCATGATATGTTTGTGGCAGGTTTGAAGCAGTTGGGGATTGAGTGCTCTCGAAGTAGTGGTGGATTTTACTGCTGGGCAGACATGAGTAAGCTAATCCGCTCGTACAGTGAGAAAGGAGAGCTTGAGCTGTGGGACAGATTGTTGAATGTATCGAAGATCAATGTTACCCCAGGATCATGTTGTCACTGCATTGAACCAGGATGGTTTCGTTTTTGTTTTACTGCATTGACTGAAAATGACATTCCTGTAGTTATGGAACGAATTCGGAGAATTTCCGAAGCTACAAAGTCCCCCAGTTGATATGGCGTCAATTATTTGATGTAAATCTTGCTAAATTATGCATTCTTTATTCTTTTGAAGATGCTCATAATTGTTTTATACTGCTTCTGCTGGAGGCAACAACCAGCAATTTAGTGACTGTGGAAGTGAATGATCAAGAGCCATGGTGTTTGATGAGTTGCCGTGAAATAATGGATCGCAAATTGGAGTGGTAATGCCATTGCATCAAAATCTGATTTCTGCCTTACTCGATCTTATCTTTTGGAATAACTGATGGTGAAATTGCCTCAGCCGTGACCGAAACTACAATTGTTATCCCCACGTAATTAAGCTTTGCCTTTTTCAGCTCATATAGGACGAGTCTGAAATGAGAAGAGGTAAGCCCCTTGCAAGACTTTGACCCCAAAAAAAAAAAAAAAAGCCCCTCGCAAGACCAATGTTTCTATTATATGCTTATAACTTTTAGATGCCGTGACTCAGGAAGTGTTTGGCAACTTCTAAACCATGATTTCAAAAGCATTTTTTTTAAAACGAAACAAATTTTTTCATATATTTATTTCGTAAACCATAAAAATACTTCTGAAATTATGATTTGGTTTTTATTCAAATACTCTGTCAGCGTAATATGAAGTATCAGTACTTTGTCTCTCATTGCAGTGTTCTTTATTCAACAAGACATTCTTTGTCTCCTAGTGGATTTCTGAGTCTCTATGAATGACATCTCTCTTTAAGGCAGGTGGGCCTCGTACCGAAGAGAAGAGTCTTCACAAGCAGGATCTTGTGGGCATTATATTTTGCGTTGATCTAACTTTGACATATTTTCAAGTATGTTTAAAGTATTTTATAATTCATCAAATATTTTAAAATATTTTTTCAGATGCATCTAACATCTTAAAGTATATTATGGTTTATTTTTAGGTGCGTCTAATATCTTAAAAAAATACCCAAAAAAAATTTAGAGTGTTTGATGTACATTCACTTGATGTATTTTTTGAGGAGTTAATGGTGAGATTAAAATTGTTTCTAAAAATATTAATACTTTAAGAGTAAAATTACATCACAAAGTATTTTAGGATGTTAGATACAACTGGAAAAATATTTTAGAATGTTGAATTAGTCTTAACCCTTTTATTTTATCACAAAAAATTTGGGAAAATTGTCACAATACAAATGTCTAGCTCTTTTTGTGGGAAATCCGTCTTCAACCCAAATTGATACGCAAGTGTTGTTTTAGATTTTATTAACAAATATTAAAAAGAGAAAATGATATTTAGGTCCTCTATAAGAGAAATACTACCTCCGATTTAGGATTTAAGATCATAGTATTAACGTTTTAGTTTTTACTCCAAAAGGAATTATTCTTCCGGTTCTAAATGTAAAATTTATTATATAGTAAATTACCTCATAAATAAGTCTCACAGAGAGAGTATTAATTAATAGTATTGTAGCTATCAACATTAAGAGAATTGTGCTTAAGCAATCTAAGTGTAAATGATAATGTCATTCTCATGGTTAAAAAACCCAAAAAGGATAGCAGAGCAAGGATTAGCATGCGGAAACGTAGAAAGCGCACAGTACGTGCACCACAAGCTTTGCTGGAACATCGCCATCTCCTTGTGCCCATGGTAAACATCCACATGGACCACACATCTCTGTTTGGTGTCTGGACATGTGATATTTCATGGAAGCCAAAATTAAGCATCTGAACGACTGAAATAAAGTTTTCAGTACCCTTAATCATTATTAACATATTATCAACACCCGTTGATTCGAAACTGGACAACTTATTAATCAGGTCAAAACACTCATTCCAGGTCCGCTGACCATGGTTGATTTAATAGTGATAAAATTAATGTTTTTAACTTTATATACAAAATATTTTGGAGAAAATTAAAGAAATTATTACTAATAAATTAACTTGATATTTAAATATGAATAAGTTAATATTCATCCACAATCCTACATTGAACTCCAAATAATAAGTTAATAATCTATCATCATAGTATTCATTAAGCAAATGTATAATTACTGATTGTTATATATAAGAATAATGCTCACATAGTAATTGTACTAATCACTTAAAAAAAAAAGTAAAATAATAAGTTAAAGAGTATTACCCACACGATATTTTTGGTTTTTGACCCATTTAATAACGTTCTCAGTCGATTTAGGCATTGGTTTACTAGATTTGTTCAATTTTTGACTAGTTCAGTCCAATTTGGAGAATACTAAGCGATACTAATAATGTCATAAATATAAAATATGAAGTAATCATGCCTTTTTTTTTTCAAGAGATAAGATATTTAAACATTTCAAAACTATTAACAAAAAAACAGCCAGTATTTAAAAGCTTTTTTTTTTTAGGTTCTTATACGCTATGAAAGTTTATTTTTGTAGCTAAAATACTTTGACTGCTATCCGCCGTTAAATTTAACCATTAAAATATATGGTGTAACCAATGTCTTTATCAATTAAATTTAACAACAAATAATAATTCATAGTAAAAATATTACGATCGTGGATATTTTTAAGCTATTTAAAAACCTTGTCCTTTTTTTTTAATTTAACTGTCTAAAATTAAACCTCACCACATGAAGATTTTTTTAATGAAATCAGCATGGTGCAAACGTAATAAACAAATGCCTCTTATTGAGAATATTACAGTTTTAAATTAAATGATAATTTAAAAATGAATGCAAAAGAATTATTTTTCTTTTTCACTTTTCCTAGGAAAACATTCTCACTCTCGAGCCTTGTATGCACAAATTTCCATCCACTTCTGCTGCCTCCTATCTGTACTCAGGGAGAAGCTAAATTAAAAATTACCTAACTCTGGGCGGCAACGAAGTCCATTTGGTCTGTCTGGTTAATTTGATTCCAATCCATTTCTGATAGATTCAAGAACCTGCACAACCTCAGCCATACTTGGTCTCCTTGAAGGATCCTCCGACGTACAGATAAGCCCCAATCTCATCACCTGAATTAACTCGTTCTCCACAAAACCCAGCAACCTCGTATCAAAGCATTGTGAAGCTGAGCCAGTCTCCAATAATCCTCTAACATAATCACACAAAACCACGACCTCGCTCGCTGTTGGACTTTCTACGGGCTTCCTCCCTGTGACCAATTCCAAAAGAATAACCCCAAAACTATACACGTCACATTTCTCACTCTGTCTCATACTCTGAGCCAACTCTGGTGCAACATATCCAACAGAATTGTGGAATTTGGTCAAACCATAATTGTCCAACATGGGAAGTAACTTCCCTAGCCCATAATCACACAACTTTGCCTCATACCTGTCATCTAAGAGTATGTTTGATGACTTCAAGTTGAGATGAAGAATCGGAGGTCGACAGTCATGGTGAAGGTAGGCAAGGGCTCTTGCAGTTCCAACTGCAATTTGGTACCTTCTGGACCAGTTTAGTTCCCTATTGCCGCGGCTAGTGCTGGTTCCGGGATAGCCAAAGCCATGTAGATTATCGTAGAGATTCCCATTTGAGACAAACTCTGATAGAATTAACTGCATGGTCGAGGACCAATAGTAACCTTGAAAGGCAACTAAATTAGGGTGTTGAAGGTTACTTATTCGCCCAATTTCATGCTCAAATTCATCTTGGTTTCTGATTCTTCCCAACGTCTCAAGCTTTTTCACTGCAATAGAGATCCCACCTTCAAAATCAGTTCTGTAGACTGTCCCAATTGATCCTCGCCCGATCAAAGACTCTTTATCAAGCAATGCTTTGGTACCTGCCTCCCAGTCTTCATACTTCGATGGTAAACTTTTGCTGAAGAGAACCAGCTTTCCTATTATGACATTTGATTCTGTAGATCCAAGGGGCGTAGTCTCAACTATCATCATCTGTTCATCTTTTTTCTTACGACGTGCCTTGATATTCATGATGCTCACCAAACAAACCCCAATAAGAATCACTGCTGCAGCAACAATTGCAATAATTGCAGAGACACTTAGTTTAGGCTTCCTAGAAGTAGGCTGTGTTGTAGTGCCATTTGCTGAGCAAGGGGTGTCCAAAGGAACCCCACAAAGATAAGGGTTGTTGGAAAATGCTGAAGAACCAAAACTCTGTATCGATGCAATTGGTGGAATGATACCAGAGAGATTGTTAAATGAGAGATTAAAATGTGTCAGTCTGTTCAAATTCCCAAGGGAAGAAGGGATAGAACCAGAAAGTGAATTATGTGACACATCTAGGTATTGGATCTTTGACAAGTTTCCTAGGCTTGTTGGGATGCTGCCACTGAGCTGATTTTGATGCAGGTCAAGGACTTCCAGATATGTTAAGTTGTTAAGGTTCTGAGGAATCTCTCCTTCCAAGTTATTACCCGAAACATTCCTGCAGAAACATAAAACAATATATTCAGATTTTGTTCAGAGTGTTGAAGTTAATGGATAGCAGTCTAATAAGCTTAGGTCACGGAACTCACAGCTCTAGAAGGAATCTACAATTGCTTATATCTTCGGGAATTTCACCGACAAGGTTTAGATTATGCAAATCAAGCACTTCAAGCAGCTGAATGTTGCCAAACCCCTTGGGAATCGATCCACTTACTGAATTATTACCTAATTTAATAACAAGTAGCCTTCCCATGTCTTTAATCCCTAATGGGATAGTCCCTTTCAACCTATTAGACTCCAAGGCCAATAGCTTGAGGCTTTTGCATCCTGTTATACTAGAGGGAATCTCCCCATCCAAAGCATTCCCCGAAGCATCAAAAAACTGTAATCTCTCGCTACAAGCAGTGTTCCCTGGAATTTGTCCACTAAAACCGTTACGTGATACATTGAAATAAGTAAGATTCTTCGTTCCAATGATGCTAAAAGGGGCTGAACCAGTGAATGCATTATCTCCAAGATCTAAAAGTGTCAAACTTTGGCATCCCACAATCTGCTCTTCCACTGTTCCTGATAAGGCATTGCTTCTCAAGGACATGTAGGATAATCTTGGAATATCACAAAGTCCAGAAGGAATACCCCCTCTTAGATTGTTGAAAGAAAAATCAAAACCTTCAAGGTTCGAGCAATTCGCCAATGACGCTGGAATTATACCTGAAAGACTGTTATGAGAAAGAGAAATGAACCTGGTTTTGTAACAGTGCCTAAACAGAGCCGAAGGAATCTCCGCGGTGAACTCATTCTTCGATAAATCCAGAAAGCGGATACTTTCTAAGTCACCAATGAACTCTGGGATTGAACCAGATAATGCATTGGAGCTCAAATTGATTTTCCACAATGAGTGAATGTCACCGTATTCTTCCGGAATCTTCCCCGAAAAACGATTCCCGAACAATGTCAAAATCCTCAAGAATTTCAATCCAGACAAAGCCGGCGCCAATACTCCGGCCAAACTAGTGTTCCATAGTACGATTCTTTCCACAAAACCTTCGGGGTTACAGAAAACTCCTCTATAATCTTCACAAGGGTTTCCACTCGAAACCCATGAGCTCAGGCTGTTTTGAGGATCATCTGTAATGTTACCCTTAAATTGAAGCAAAATCTCCTTCTCAGTCACCGGTGAGACCGCGATAGATGAAAGAAGACAGAGAACAGAGCACAAGAGAGCATGCGGGAGATGAAATTGACGATGCCTTCTCATGCTCGAAACAAGGCGGAGTTGGGAGATAACATTAGCCGTTAGGCATTATCGTAGTTGGAACCAAATGTGCGACGATTTGTCTTTCCTCAGCTGCAGTGAACGAGGTTGCGCAAATGCTGTTTCAACGACGAACACAGCACCACCATCATGACCAATTGGGATCATTCCACTCAAAGCTCCTTCCTTTTCCAAATGGGATTGACAGAAATCAGGTTCACTAAAACAACAAAGATCTGCGATTCTCTTAGTATGTAGCGATTCAGCCTTTTGAGGGGGGAAGAATGCGAGAAGCAAGGTCTGAGGTTGAGCTGAGAGATGAAGAGAGAGAAGAAATGGAAGGCAGGGAAGAATGGGAAGTAGGAGTAAGTAAATGAAATGAGAATAGTGGAAACGAAGGCTGTAGCTTTGCTGGAAAGAAAGCAGATGAGACAGCGAGAGGCAATTAAATAAGCTTCCTATAATGGTTAGTCTGTGCAAAATAAATTTTAAGCGGTTGCCACCAAGTGAAGCTGAACCACGTGCATTCCAGAGCCGTCCCCCTCTTTCTCACTCTCTAGCAATGATGCGCTTTTAACAATGGAAACCCAGACTGTGCCTGAGCCTGAGTTTCTCTCTCCACCACCATTATCACTCTCATTTATTCTTCCCCACCAACCAAGTCGGGACCAAGACCACCGTCAACACCACGGCAATTACTACAACACAAGGCCAATCCAATGGAACACCAAAAAGAGCCAGAGAGAGGAGAGTGTGGTTTTGTCTGTTCCCTGTTCTGTCTCCGGGTTGGGAAGGGGTATGCTAATTGTTCTTACCCACCCGATTTTTCCTGTGTCCGTTTCGTTGATTAGGGGCTTTATTAGTTGGAATTAGTCGTCATTAGCATCTCATTACTTTAACCAAAACTAGTCACATCATGACATTTATAATGTATTCTGTGCTGCTGTGGGTTCGTAATGTTCAACGTACACGAAGGGAGGTTTTACGAACTGTGATTTGCGGGCGAGGAAGCTCATACCATGCGAAGCGTCTGATTTGGATTGTATGGTGGCTCGTAACAAAGGAGAAATTGAGAGAAAATAATAGAAGACAGTGAAAAACTACTTATAAAATTATAATTGATATTAAAATAGTATTAATATGACAAGATGCTAACACAGCAAGCGTCCTGCTCGATGTGTTAGGTAATTTTGGGATTAGATTAATGGAAAAGGAAAGATGGGGCCTTTTCTTCAACGCAGAACCTCTTTAACGTTATTTCTCTTCGTTCAAAGAGTCTGTTGTGTTGCATTTGACTCTTTTAAGTTTGTTGTGGTTGGGTGACTCCTTCTACCCAATTTCTCCCCATCCTAATCAACGGTCAAAAATAGAATTTCGAGATACACTCAGCTCACACGCACACCCACAACCAGTGAAGGCCGACAATCTGTGTAAAACGTCTCTGCTGGTTTGCCTTGTTAAGTGCTTTTTCTCCCTTTTAACCGCCTTGGCTCTTGCCCAGAACAGAGAGCAACTTTTATCATTGTTAGTGTTAGTCCCATTCCTAATATAAGAAATTAAGTAGTTTTTTTCACATTAAAAAATTATTATTATTATTGTCCCTACTATTTGATCCGCTGGTTCCCTCAAAGAACGCAACTCGGCCTATTTTCATTGGTCGTGGTCATTTTGGTTTCATGATTATTATTGAGATGATATGGCCTCTGATCTTAAGTTAATGTCGTTTTGACGGATCACATAATTCAAAAAACAAGTAAGCAAGAAAGGCTGGTTAACAAATACCATGCGTGTTTTGTGGTAAGTGGGTGGCGATATGAAAATAAAGAGGGGGGGCCAACTGACAGCCATAACTTGTACCCACTTGTAATTGCATGCAATTCGAATCTGAGTCTGTCCCATTTCCATCCGCCAAAAGCTCCCGACTCTCTAACACAGGACAATCGCTTCAGACAGTTTTTAGTGGGGTCACTACTCCTTAAATTTTATTTCTAACTAATTTATAGGTACCAGTAAAAAAACAATTAAAAATATTAAATCTGTTATAAAATATGAGTAATTTTTGATACTCTATTGTCCTTATAAACTATGCTGAAACTTTACATTATAGTACTAATTTTTACCCTCTTTCATCTCTCTCATGAAAAGGGGAGGGAAAAAAAAAACACCAACAAGGCTCTCTGACGTGGCATCGCCACAGTAGGATAAGAACAATGTGGAGATCATTATGGCTTTTTCAGAATCTTCTATCCTGCTTCCAGCGTCGCCTCAACACAAAAGCTTTGATTGTGAAGCGCAAGGTCTACAAAGAGATTAGATCGTTATTGGTCACACTCCGCGGAAACAATAAAAAGGAAGGATGATTATTAGTCAATCTTATCTGGCTACTAATCACAAAATGAGCTGGCTCAAACGTCAATCATATGAGTGAGAAACTCTTTTGTATTTGATTCTCATTTGTTCAGTCCAAACAATAGCATGAGTGGGAATTTCATTCATATACAATCATACAATATAGACGCACAAAAAAATGTCCGTCTCAGCAAACAAGACCGGGGTTCAAAGAAATGTAGATGCTGAGCTAAAATAGGTTAGTCGTGTTAGCTGAATTCCTCCCATGGATGAAGTAGCTTAAATAAAACCTCACCCAACTGTGCACCACCTGCCAATATGACCTGGTGTCTAGCTCATGCAGTGAAAGTCGAGGAAACCAAGCCAAAAATTACTGGATTATTGCAATAAAACTTCGTCTTCCCTTCCCAACTCTTTCAACCACTTTTTAGCATAAAACGTGAAGAAGATTGTTGTAGCCACAGTAAAGCAGAAACCCATAACGTTAAAGATAATTTGAGGGGCAGATAGAGTGTGTTTTTCATGTGAAGCATCAGCTAAAGTCATTATCAGAATCCCCCTGCAGTAAGAAAATGCCAGGGATATGAGTTGAAGATACAAAACAGGAGAATCAAATTATGGTGAAGTCACAAGTCTCGCTAGGAAGATGATTGGAGAGGTGAAACCCCCACCTGGGGGGCGGGGATGCAACCAGAAGAGGAAGAACAAGAAGCCAACTATGGAAGTAAGAGCAAACATGGTACCTAGCTGGTGAAACTAAAGCATAAAATCAGGTCATGCACATACTCATTCGCTCACATGTAGGAAAACAGAAAGTCAAAATGTCAACATCCTTCAATAACCATCAAGTTTAATGGTGTATATATGTAAAACAAAATAAAGTTAGGTAAAACAGTTAGAGTAACTAGCCGTTAGAGATTTAGGATTTAGGGATTATAAATAGACTCAAATACCCAATTGTATGACCCGACTTTCCCGTGAATGAAATTGCATACTATTCAGAATTCTCTCTATCTCCTCTCTTGTTCTCTCTCTATCTCTACTTTCCCATCTCTCTCAAACCCTTTCTTTCCCGTTCCCTCTCTTCCAAAATTATCTTTACTCGTCAGTTAACAAATAGTACTTGGTTTAGTTAGAAACACTTGCATTCAGAGAAATAAAAAGAAAACAAAAAATCAAAAGCATTCTGCCACCTCACACGCATAAAACCAGAATGCAATTCTAAGGAAATTCTCTCACTCAGAATGGAGTATATATCTGGCTCACATTCTTTGCAGATTCAGTATTAATACTGAACCACAAAGACACAGAAGGAGATGTTCACCATACCATCTAGAATTCTACAAATATTTCACAACTGCTGTTTAATTAGTCATTTGTCACTGAAATATAAATGGTAATTTATAAACCTCGTAGGGATGAAAGCAACAGATTTCAACAAGGGAGATCATAACAACATGGTTGCAGAACTCCCACTTAAATCGAGTATTGAAACCATATCAACTTGTTCCAACAATTAATAGTTTTATCAAGACATATATTAATAAATGTCATTTATGAACAAAAGGCTTATGAATATATGCATGTCCTCAAAAAATTTAAATAATGATCAGGCATGGACATCCAAAATTGAGTAGAACAGACGGTCCCCATGTATATGGAAACATTTAACAAGCGCATATAAATATTCAACAAACTGCCTAGATCTAGGTATGCAAAGAGGAAGCGAAGCAACTCATTGAGTGATCAAAAAACAATGTTTCACACAAACACACACAGACATCCACACAGAGAGAGAGAGAGAGATAGAGATTCTACGTGTAGATTGCAACAAATATTTCTGGCACCATTCCCACCAATGATCCCATTATGTAAGGTCCATACTTAACATTTGTTGCCACAGCACAGTAATTGTAGATTATGTAAGGGAATGGAGAAATTCTGATTAAAGCAACAGCACGAAATTGATGCAACCAATTTCCTTCACCTGCAGATCTTAATAATGAGGCTTTCTTAGGATACCTTTCTAACCAACCCTGCATAGAATATGAAATGTTGGGTTAGCTTTAGCACAGAAATGTAGACAATGTTTTAAGAAAAAAATAAAATATAATAAAACCAACTTGATTAAAAACAAGGCACGTACTTGAAGTTTTTGATGGAAGATTGAACCAATGAAAAAAGGGAGAGAGACACCCACAGATGCCGCAGATATTATTAGCAAGAACCCAAGGCCATAACCAAATGTCATCCCAGCCACCCACATAGAAGGTGTAGACGGTAAAAATAGTGTTGGAAATAATGCTATGGAAGCAAATAGCAGAACAGTTAACACTGGAACACTGAACGTGGTTCTCTCCCAAATCAGTATTGGAATAATCTCCTGAAAAGAAACATTAATCAGGTAGGTTCTCAAAATACTGATATATGCAGATAAGGGCAAAAGAACATAGCAAACTTTTTAATGCTCTAATCAGTTTCTGCAGCTGCAAGAAATCATGTCAGCCTATATATCCATGCACTGAAGTTCCTAATATCTCAAGTTAGAGGCAACCAACAAGAAATAAGATACATTAGCCAGCATCGTTTAAAATCAACTCGTCAGCCAAAGACACAGGCTTTTATTCATTTCAACTACCATTTCTACTGTCACAAGATAAAACTGAGCTGTAAAATTCACAGAGTTCATCCAGGCAACAACTATCCAAATAGTCAAATGCTCCATACCAGATACAAAGAGAAACCGTCCTAATACTTTCTACATTTTAAAATGCATTCATCAGACAAAGACACAGACATGATCAAGCCAAATTGGATAAACTAAGGTTGATTCCACAGCAAAGTACTCCACATTCAGGATGATGGAAACCAAGCTCTGTAGGTGGCCCATACACGTGGTTATGCTAATTTCTCAGATCTTTGTAAACCTATTTATTAAAAAAATAAATAAATAAGTTTAACATCGACCAAACAAATTTTTCCCCCCTTATTATTTAAGATATGCAATCACGAATTTTAAAATTTTCATATGGTTAAATTTTCATATGTGTTATCTTCAACCACCTTTCAAGTAAGTTTCCAGGTATATGCCTAGGAATTTTTTTTTTATTTTTTATTTTTTAACCAGACAGAACCTCGGGTGTCGATTTCAGTCATCCTGTACAATAAAAAATTACACAGCAACCGAACAAAGGGGAAAAAAAAAACATAAAGGACTTCTAGGATGGAAATCATGGATGACCAAAACTAGACTCGAGGTTGCTAATTCAAAGCATGTTTCTTTGACGCAAGAGGACCCACCAAGTTCACTCCGGCACTCAATTTTTTCCAAACACATACATGATTTCTTTCTCAAAACTTTGATAGAGAGGAACGGGGATGGGGAAGCCTCAATACCCAAAACATGTGCGAGTCCAAGACTAACCAAAAGGGAAACGATTACAACACAGTAATCGAGGGCATTCAAGTTCATCTAGAGTTACGATTGCAAGAATAATACACGAGTAATAACAAACCTTATCCATGAAAAAGGGTCCGACCCACTTGAGAAATACAGCAACCAAGAGCCCTATACACACAGCCAAGATCAACAATTTAACCCAATACCATAAAGACCCTACTCTTCCTGTTGGTGAAACCTCCGCCGCCTCACCTACGGCGGTTGCCGGTTCAGCATTTTCCGGACCGTGCCTCAATTTTACGTAATCCCCATTGTTGTCGTCACTGCAAATTCTGAGCGGAAGCTCCGGGATCACCTCGGCCCTCCCACCATCGTCTCCATAATAAGCCATCGAAAAAGCAAACCCCTGAGTGGCCGGTGGCCCAAAATACGCTCCCTCCTTGTAACCACCGGTTGAAAAAAAAACACACCTTATCAAAGAAACATGATGGGAATTTTTATTCAGAAGATCAGCGACCTACAATGATAAGATGGTGGAAGTATATAGGGATGAGAAATGAATCGAGGAACGGAGACTGGCAGATGCAGTGACCGCTGACGAAAGAACCGATTCAGGAATTTATGCGTTGTTCTCCCCGTGATGAAGAAACCATTTGGAACGGAACGGTGTCGTTTTGCTCGTCAGCCCCGGTGGCGCCATGATCCCGTTAAGGCATCGAGTGTGAGTGACGCGTATGCAACGGCACGGATGATTTTGAGGGATGGAATGCCATTGGCTCGTCGTGACTTCACCGTTACTGCAACGCGGGCCTACAAAATCAACATCAACATCTTTTTCTTTTTCTTTTTCTTTTTTTTCTTATAAAAAAAGATGTTGCGTAGTCTGGATTTCACTGTTCATATCTTAATTGATCGCTACATTTATTTTTTTATCGCTACATTTATAAATAATGCGTTTGCCTTGTTTGTTTTTTTTTTATCAGCAATAATACGTTAGCCTTGTGTACATTAATAAATGATTGATTATATGTGTGAATATTGAAGTGGACAGTATTGATGTGGATGTAAATTAATATTATTTTTGAAATCATACGCGTTAGAAATTAAATGATTGACTTATAACTAGGTGGTTGAGCCGCTTATCCTTAAGACCTTAAGCTAACTTCTTGTTTCATCAAGAGTGAAGCTTGAAATTTTTTTAATAATTATTTTATCTTCCAAATTTATAATTATTTCCTTACAATTTTCTTATTAACCGCACATATTGAGGGGTTTTTCAGGAATAGTTTTCAATACAAATAATTAAAAAAAATACTTTAAGAAAAATCAACACATATTTTTATGAATAACCAATTTAATTAATTTTTTATCTATAAATTCATTATACAACTCACTTATTTAGAATCAGAGAGTAATATGCTATGAGTGAGATGCTGGATATGAGAGGAGATATTTGGAAATGCCTAGACGGGGGTAATTTTGTCCTTTAATTAAGAAAGGTGAAAAGATAGTAATGGTGAGAGAGAACTCTGGGGGGGGGGGCCCTCTGATTCCTACACATGAATAGGTTGGAGCCTTGAAGGAGGGAGAGAAAGGAACGCTTTCCTCTATCCCTCGGGTGGGGATATGTTGTGAGTCCAATATCCAGACGACGCGTGTGCGTGAGGTGGCAAGCACTCTAGATTATGAGTGTCATCAACTGCTTCGCCGCTGCTTCCCCGTGTATGCCTTTGGTCCACTAGTTCGCTCATCGGCCCAAAATAAAAAAAAAAAAAATCCTTTTCTGTTTTAATCGCCTCCCATAAGCATCCGCCATGCCTCTCGCTTGATTCGCTTGATTATCCAACATGTCTCCCCTGATGTTTTGTTCTTGTTTTTATTTTCTCCATCTTCTTCCACATGTTCTTACTTAGAAACTACCACCTCAAGTTTTTAATACTAGGAGGAGATAGTCGTAATTAGCTTAACAAAAAATCCATTGGGTGGTCTTAAAAAGTCTTATGAATATATCAGTAAACATTAAATAACTAATTTAGTTAATTTTAAAAGTTAGTTAAATTTTATGGAAGACACAACATGCATCGGCATTCTCAGTCCCCACCTCTCGTAAAACCTATCCGGCGACGCGCTCTCAAGCACTCCTGGTCTGGGGCCAGACACATTAGACACCACACTCCCTCACTCTCTCCGCCCAATAATTTAGCAATGGGAATAAAATCTGTCCAACTCTCACTCCACATGCATCTAAATTAAGATGACTCATACATTGCAAATTGTAGACTTATATATATATATATATATATATTGGCGAGTATGTTATAGTAGAAGCCCGCTGGAGACATAATCGCATTAATTAAAAACAGGGTCATGATTTAATTGCGCATAAGCCAGGTGAAACATATAGAACGAAGCTTAAGCACGGCAGTTATTTAATAGTACACGCGTGTGAAGTCAGTGTATTGATCAAATTTTGCTTGCACAGGAGAAAAGGGCGCTCTTACAAGTGGTGCCAGTTGTGCCAAGACGTCCAGTGCCCGTCCTTGTCCGGGTCGGCATGCTACCAAGGAAATGATAGTGAAAATGCTTTGGTAACGTGACTTAAACTGCTTTCACCCCTTGTGAGACATAACCAGGAGGAGAGAAAATTAGGAAGGAAAAAAAAAAAAGAGTTATTTCTTATTTGGATGGGAGAGAAAATATAAGAGGAAAAAAAATAGGAGAGAAAATAAGGTGAATCTCATACCTAATTTTTTCTTCATGTATGGAAATATTTGGAAGGAAAACAAAGTTTTCGTCACTGACCCTCATCTCTCTTTCTTTTCATATTTATTTTTTTATTATATTTAAAATTTTCACTTTTTATCTTGTATCTTAAAACAATATTTTTATTAAATAATTTGATTTTAAAATATAATAATACGAAAATATATATAAACCAAATAACTTGATTTTGTATTATTTGATGATACTAATTTTAGTGTAATTTTCCTATTGCGGCATTTAATTTGATTTAATTTTAAATATGATATATTTTAATAATGATATTTTAGTTATTCAGCTATTTGCTTATTTTCTTTCCTTCTTATTTTTCTCGTCTATCCAAGCAAGAGGGATGATAACATATTCTTTTTAATTTTTTCTTCTCTCCATTTTCTCCCCTCTTATTTCTTTCCTCCTAATTTTTCTTCACATCCAAGTAGAGCATGAACAGAGCCTTGTTAGGTATTCCCACTGTCTCTATTTATAGCAGCAAACGTTTGATCAAATGAAAAGTTAGTTAAAATTGATTAAAAACAATAAATATATAAAATTTGTAAGTTTTCCCTCAAAAATACTTTTATCAGTGAAGGAGAGAGTATAAGTGAGAGGATAAAAAGTTATTAAAATAAAGAGAATGATACATTGAAATAGTGAACTAATAGATATGTGGAATATTAAAATAAGTAGCTTACAGGCCAAAATAAGAAACTAACCAGAAAAATTTAAGATATCTTACAAATGCTTCTTTTACATAGAGGCAAGATATAAATAGTAATTGTTTCTTATTAAAAAAATTGGAGTAATATTAAAGAGTAGACTTAAGGTGGTGAATACGTGTTCAAGTGCTCATCATTTATAATCCAGATGAGATTTATAAAATATTCAATAAAAATATTTATAAAATACATACTAACAAATTATTAATTGAGATAATAAGTAAACACAAATTTAAATCTTAAAAAATACACTTGTTGAGAAGTTTTACCCTTAACACCTAAGTCCAAAGTGACTTAACAAAAAAATACACTTTGCAACTTGCGGTGAAATTAAGTGGCACATTCAAATCATTGAGCAACAAATAAATTAAGAGCAATTGGATCCAAGGCTCCTTTAGATCAATGTACTTAAACTGAACGTCCAGTGGAAAAGACCAATTACTCGTCGTTCTTATGGACCAACCAATTAGAAGGCAGGAGTCATGACGTGATAATTCAACAAAAAATTGATACACATATATAGTAGTATATATAATAAGTTTAATTATCACTATAATATCAATACAATAGATGAAGTTTTCAATAAAATAAACTCATATGGCCACAAATGATTCGAAAATATATCTGACTCTCTTGTATACTAATTTTTATATATTTTTTCGTTATTTTCTCACTAATATATTTAACTTCATGTTTTAGTTCAACGGTAGTTCAACTTTAGTTTGATCTGACTTGGTCATAAACTATTTTTTTGATCCAAACTAGGATGTTAATAAATCCAATTGGTAGTCAGACTAGTTAAATTGTTTAGCCTGATACCGTTTTAATCATTGCTTTAAATAATACTCCTCCCGTCCTTAATGTAAGACCCAATTGTTGAGTTAGTTTTAATTCTAAATATAAGACCCATTTCTCATATTTATTAATTTTTTCTAAATTACCCTTATAGATACTCCCTCAACTATAATCAAGTAGAAGAGGGAGAGGGGGTATTAAGAAAGATGATTATAGTGTTTTAGGAAAAACATGTCACATTTTTTATAATTAACCAACTTACCTAACTTCCTTAATCTAATCAAATTAGTTAAATAGATCTTATATTAAGGACTGAAGAAGTATAAGAGTAAGATATTGGTGGAAATTGTAATAAAACTCCATATAAAATTTTTTGAAAAAATCGTGCTTACTTCATGATAATTGAAAGAGAGGAGGTTTTACCAGAAATATAAATCAAAAAGTAAAAGAGATGAGTCTACTAGCAAATGGAGGATTAGTGAGCTTCTCCTTAGAAACACAGGAGAGGATAAGGTACTTTTCCATAGAGATTGGTAAGTTCTGATTAACCATATCTTTAAGAAAAATTTAGGCATTGCTGATTTTTCAGTCAAGTCATCACATATTGTGGAGGGGAATTTTTATTATCTTCAATAATCTCCAACTCTTAGCAGGAATAGGAGACTGATGATGAGATTTGGCCCGCTACTGCTGTTTTGTACTGACCTCTTTTATGGTTCAAAAGTATAGCTGGGCTAACCCGCGAGTTGCGGGCCAACCCGTCACAACTCGCGGGTTATGCGGTGCGGGTTGGAGCAGCCTGCATTTTGGTAGGCTGGAAAAGTCCCAACCCTAACCCGCCACAGCGGGTTGGCGGGCCAGCCTGCCAGCCCACCATCTTTTTTTTTTTTAATTCTCAATTTTTAAATCTTATTTTTATTTAATTTTTTAAACTAATAAATGGTGATCCAAAATTTCAAAAGTAATCACAAGTATAAATTATATTTAACCACATTTAAAATAGTCAATATAAATATAAAACAATATATTACAAATATTTTACATGACTAACATTCAACATCAACTTATCAAGTGATAAATTTTATAATTTTTTTTATACAAATGTCATGTTTGATACAAAACACTATCTCTTAATAAATTAGAAGTGCATTTATCTAACTTTTTTTAAAAGTTCATTCACCATATTTTTCTAAAATACTTTTTTTCTATAATAAATATTATCTTATATTTGATTGTAGTTATTAAATTTTTGCTACAAATATGGTATGCTTATTTTTTAAAAATATTTGCTGTTTACATATGTATTATGTAACATGAAAATTGAGATGTAAATGAGAGAAGAAAAATTTCAAATATAATAATATATTATTTATATGAATTTTTTTTTTAAAAAAAGTGACGGGTTAGGCGGGCCAACCCGCCACAGCCCGCGGGTTATGCGGTGCGGGTTAGAGCAGTCCGCATTTTGACGGACTGGCAAAATGCCAATCATAACCCGTTCTTTTATAACGGGTTGACGGACTGACCCGCAAACCCCAACCCATATTTCCGGCTCTATTCAAAAGAAAGAATTGGTGATCTTTGGATTCATTTTCGCGGGAGTATCAAATCAGCGTAATCTCTCTTTTGAAAATTCAAAACGTCGACGTAAACCGTGCTCGACTTCTCATTTGTGATCCTCTTTCTCGAGAAGTCCCCAATTCCGCTGAAACTCCAATCCAAACATGGCCGTCGTTGCCTCCTACTCACCTAAACTTAGCTGCACTTCAAAAATCCCCTTGCCGACCCGTTTCTCTTGCCTTTCCCATCCAAAATCCACTGCGCCTGCAACTCCAACTCAAGCTGCGCCTCCAAAACTTGTGATTTCTGATATATTTCGGAGCCCCAAAACCAGGGCGGCTCTGCTCGGAGTGGGTCTGCTCCTCACCTTCACCGAATCTGCCTCATCTATGGAACTTCCGTTGCTGGGATCTGCACTCCAGCTGGATGAACCCTCCAATGCTCTTTCCCTTCCCACATGGACTGTACACGTCTCCAGCGTCATCGAATGGTGAGTTTGCTTTCATGTCCTTGTGTGTTGTTCGTATTTTATCACTTTCTCTAAGTCTCCCATGCCTTCGCCTTCTTCATCACCGAGGGCTCTGCCTTGTTTATTTTCGAACAGTTTTAGCACTCTTCAATACCCCAGGAATTGATTATTAGTAACAGTCGAAAGGACATCAAGACGTTCTCATGTACGACTACTGTGCTTTATGAAACGGATCGAGCTCCCATCTTTCTTTCGTCGTCTATTATTCCCAAAATAATGGAGATGATTTAGTATGCTGAAGTTCGAGGGCTCTGTGGTATTGATAATTTTATATTATTCACAATTGGCGAAGTAGTTACAGAACTTAACCCAGTTCAAGTGCGCATTGTTTCGTCTTAACTCTAATACGTCTTATCTGTGAGGAGAAATCCTTTTGGTTATTTTGTTTCTGGGGTGTCAAGTTACTGATTGTTGTTTTTTATTCAAAGGATTATAGCCATGGCGTTGGTATGGCAGTACGGGGAGAGATCAGGATATGAATCTTGGAAGGGGCTTTCATGGGGCATGGTATTCTTTTCTTATTTTGCAATTCCTTGCATTGCCCACTGCATTGCGAAGCTCTATGTTTAGAAAAGGCGTTAAGCTGTTAAAGAGCAAATGATATTTTTCTATCACTGATCTGTACATTAATTTTAACTACTCCTCGAAGGCTTTAGTTATTTTACTTGCGTTTCTATGAAAATTAAGCTTTAGGCCTGCATGCTTAGAAAATTAAGCTTGGTATTGTTCTGTTAGTTTTCTCCTAGCAGTTATCTCATGTGACATACGTTTTTTTTTTTACCAATCCAAATATTTCCTTCCCTCATTTACCTCCATCAGATGTTTTGGATTTTGGTATCTCTTTTCTCATTTGGACTATGTCTTTATTCTTTACCATAAGGTTGAGACAAGGTGTTATTTAGATGTTGTCTGATTCTTCCAGGTACCCCTACTAGGTGGAGCACTTTGCGCATGCACATGGCATTTCTTTTATAACTCTGAGTCCCTGGAGGTAGGAAGGCTTTTCTCTCCTTATGCAAAAATGCTGTGCCCTGTAGTGACAAAATTTCACGTGATTGATGATACGATTATTTTAACTTAAAGAGGATCTTGTTTTATATGAATATGGAACGATTAATTGGTCAATATACATATAAATAATCATTACCTCAAGATGCGGGGTTATGGATGGTGTTTTTTAATATATGTGCTAGTTAAGAAGCATGCCTTCTGGGCTTCTGGCCAATCATTTGTGGTAGCCACCGTCATTAATTTCTGCATGTCTGCATCCTGACTTCAGAATATTTCACAATGTATTATACGTACAATTCATCCTCCCCAACTTTGTTGCTAGCTTGAACCCGCTTCTTATGGAACTTTTCGATGAATAAACTCATGGACCGTCTGTACTTTCCAGACCTAAGTTACTTCATTCGACCTATCGAGTTGGGTTTGTATTATTGTTATGGCCTAGCTACGTAACAGATGTAGACTCATGATGCTTTCATACTGTGTTAAATCCGGTTAAATAAGATTAAGGCAGGAAGCCTAAAGTGATCCAGATCCAAATGAATTGCAGGTATTGGTGGCTCTTCAAGCAGCACTTACCGTTCTGGGTAATGCCACAATGTGCATAGCTGCATATCGTATATACAAATCCCGGGAGGGCACCAAAAATTTTTGAAATTTTGCAGTGCGGGCCTCTGGAATTAATATATTAGACCGAGCGGATGTCTTCTTTTTCTGCTTCTCGGTAAACTACTCCTTTTAATTTATGAACGAATATGATGGTGAGAAGAGTCTGCTAATTTACGAAAACCATTAAAATGTCAGAGATGATGCTTACGAGGAAAGGAATCCTTCTTTTCCGTATTAGTGCCACCAGCCATCATTTCCTCTGAATCTACTTGTGTTTTCTTGCAACAGGATAAACCTGCTGGAAAATTCGCGAGATCAAGATCTATTCACTAACGGTAGGCATTAATTCCAGAGTTTGGATTCAACTATCAAGGCCGTCTTATATTAGGAGCCTGTGAATGCCGAAGAATCTCCACTGTCTAGCATGAATAATCATTCATCTACTGTATATGTATGTCCGGACTCCTAATTGTTCAGAGTAGTCATAACTGACGAAGAGGGCGGTATGAGGATCTAACATGTTTTTTTTTTTTTTAAAAAAAAATGTTTTCTAGTAGTTGATAGTCCTCTCTTATGCATACTGGTCCTAAATATAAGACTCTTACACAAGTATGTATAAGGGTCTTGTATTTAGGACCAGAGGAGTAATAGCATATTTGTTAATGTGATAAATAGTGAATCTTGTTTGAATGCATATATTCTGCTTTATTTGATCAAAGCCGCGGTCATTTTCATAAAGTTAACTGTGAGTTGGTAATGTCTATAGTTTGAAGGGTTTAGAGGGCCACTGTCCGACTTTAATCAAATTAGTTTAACAGATGTCTTTTGTGACACTGGATTAAAAGTGCACTAATTTACTAATGGGAATGGGGTACAGTGGGAGGGATTAGTTCTTTATAATATAGTGAATTAAGGTTTAAATTCTTATTAAGAGAGGTGTTTATGTTTAGTGTTTAATGATGTCTTAAATAGAATTGTCTCTAATGAGAGTATGCCTATGCTTAGAAAAAAAGAAGAAAAAAGTACACTAATTTATCCATTTTTGTTCCCTAGAAACTAAGATATTCAATCGCCTTATCATCTTCATAAGCTTTCACATAGCAAGCACTCCTTTTTTTTAAAAAAAAAGGCTAGAAAAGCTAATGGGCTGAGGGAGAGGGAGAAGGAGGACTGTCGTCCACAACTTTTAATTGTTCCTGATATACTAGAGGGTGACAGAAAATAGGTTCAAACGATGAAATTTCTTTTCAAGCCCACTCATCAGGACAAGCTTCTCCTGCTGAAGATGAACAACCTTGTTCTTCAGCTTCTTGTTTTCTTCGCTGATAATCTGGTTCTCCAAATACAGCTTCAGATTCTTTAGCATCATTTCTTCCCCTGCCATCCTTTCACTTCGTCTGTACATGCATACATATACAAGACTCCTATGCGTTAGGATGTCGGACGAAACCAATGAAGATATAGGATAAACCATAATTTACCTCGCAAACTTGTAAACCTGAACTTTAGGTCGTTTGGATCGTCGTTTCCTAGCTGAAGAGTGAAGGAGACCTATCGAATTAATCACCTTGTTGCCCACGCACATGATCTTCTGGTTCCTATACGTCTTTAGTGAAGAAAGTGAGAGGATATGCAGAATTTGATAAATCATTAGTTCCTATAAATACACAGTTTTGTTCTTTATTCTTGTATGCAATGATGCATAGGGATATGTAGCAAATATAGACTCGACAGAGAGTGAAGAGGCGTTTCTTCGCTTGTAATGATGACCAAAGTATCAGCCTCTAGAATAACACACATCCAATATGGGTGACCCAATAATAAGTTAAGGGGGGAAAAAGGGTATTTTGTTGAAGACAGGATGGATCTATGCACTTGATTTCCTGACATCTTTATCAGCAGTAGAGAGCATTTGAATCCCTGTGCATGCTTAGGTACACGGAATCAAACCAAAGATTCAAAATAGAAAAGGCCTTAGTCGGCTAGTCCCAAGTCCCCACTTTCACATCTTCCTACTATCTGCTATGTCTGCTCGTTATTATGAATTGTGATGGCCAAAAGAACCAATTGGTAGGAGAGAGATGCAGGGAGGCTATAGTCAACAAATGAATCGAACATTGCTTCGTGCGTTCTCCCATTATCAGAGTGATTTCAAATTTATACATCCGAATCAGTAACCTTACGTGGCCAATGCGATGATAACAACATTAGGCCAAGCACCGCATCTTCATTTTTCTTCCACGCGGTGTAGTTGACAGTTTTTTCTTGTTACGCGCCCTGCCAAAAATGAATTTGCTTGTTACTTATAAACTCTGCAACTTATCGTTGACTTTATTATTTACGTTGATAACTTGATATATTGAAATTAATTGGGGTAGTTGCTGAGGCGATGAATTTATCTCGCAAGTAAAAGATTGTGTATTCAGTTTTTCTTTTTTCAATATTCAAATAGTTTCAAAATTGAATATTATCCTTAATATAAAACCTATTTAACTAATTTAATTGTAAAAAATGTGATATGTTTTTCTTAAAAGATTATAATCATTTTTATTAATATCCTTCCTCTCTCTTTTATTTTTATTATACTTGAGGGAGTATCAATAAAGATAATTTAAGAAAAACTAATAAATATAATAAGTAGGTCTTATATTTAGAATAAAAATCAACTCAATCATTAGATCTTATATTAAAAATCGGAGGAGTATTTAATACACGGTGAATCGACACCCCAAATCAAGGTGTAATGAGGCCTGGCGGGGCTGCAGGAAGATCAACGATCCTGCTGATAACTTTTTCTGTTTTTTTTTCTTAATTTTCCGGTTGTTTATCTGCTCTTTTTATGCAACCTTTTGGTTAAGCCTTTAGCTGGCCTTGATTAACCCCAAAAAAGAAAAAGAAAAAGAAGTGAACATTCCCATAATTAGATGTCACAGTATTTGAACGGCACACTGTAATGTAGAAGACAAATGGTGGTCATAGTATTTATTTATTGTTTTGCTTATTTATTTTCAAAGTTGGTGACAAAGCGACAACAGACGATGCGGCAGCAAGGGCCTGTGCGTTGTCGATCATAATGACGGCATTGTGACGGTATCGGCGGCCTGGTGAGAGGGCACGGTCAGCTCCCTGCCACTACTCTCTTCACAAGCGTGATTTATACGCGCTCACTTCTCTCACCGTTGTTGCGGAAAACAAAGGCAGAAAGCTTGCCCAGTCGCTTGTAACTGATAATTGGTGCTGGTCAAAGGAGGACAGTGAAAGTTGGGGAGTGCGCGTGGCATGAAACTTGTAGGGCATGCGAGTGTTAGGAGGGCCAGTGCTGTCCAGCCGGTCCAGCGGCTCCCATGTTGTGAATGGTGATTCCAGGGCAAGCCTCGGGAGCACCCAACTTGCTGAAAAGCTACATAGCACGCGCTCTATCCCTGTTTTTGTCCTTCTTTTGGCTTTCTCTTCCTATGTTATTCTCATTATTATTATTATTAACCAAAAAAAAGGAGAATTTAGAAAAAGCAGTGGCGGGGAGGCGGGCCCACTATCTGGGTTGGCCGAGGGAGACAATGACAATGGGGTGACGATGCAAAAACTAGGGGTGCCGTGGGAAACCCAGACGATTTTTCAGTGGCAACATCAAACGCCAAAACCAGGGGACTTTGTTGCTGCGCCTCCCCACCCTCTCATTTTTTAAGGTCCGCTTCGTCGCCGTCCCTCCTTTGCCTCCAATCCATCATCCTCTCCTCTTTTCGATTACGCCTTCTAGTCCCTCCTTCCTCTGTTTTCCCATAATATCTCTCACTCCTCCAGATTTCATTTCTTTCCTTCTTTCTCCTATTCTCAAGGTACGATCACTTTAATTCTTCTTTTTTTGTGTTCATTTGTTTTCTTGTTTTCTCTTCTTACGTTTCTGAATGATTTGCCTTGTTTTCTTTTTCATTCGATCTCTCATGCATTCCTCGTGACTCGTGTGGAATTCTGATCATCTATTTATTGTTTTTAGTTTCTCCACCAACTTTGCGATGGTTAGATGACCAACGCGGTCTAACGTCCGAATTCTGAGCGGATGCTCCGTGATGCTTCTTTTGCCTTTTCCGGTGGTCAAAAGAAATATTTTTTGGACGCACATTTCTTTTTTTCGCTCACCCTTTTTTCAAATACAGCAGAGGGCCAAGCCCAAACAAGAGCGTCTCTTCTCCGGTTATGCCTCCCCATGTCTTTCTCCGTGCTTGAGGATTTTTTTTTATTTTTTTTATTTTGCCTTCTCCATGCTGAGGTTATGTGCATGTATGTCTCAAATTTAATTTTACCTCATCTAGAATCATCTCCTCACCGACTTTTCCGGAAAGTTTTTTGGAAACGTTTTTTTTTTTTTCAAAAAAACATTACTGTTAAGGAGTTTTAGTGGGTTTTTTAGGCCTGATTTGGTGGGATTTCAATGACCATACGCAACATATATATAATCATTAACACGGTTTCCCGGAACTCCCAAGCAGAAGTCTGGTCGAACCCTAGAGAAGAATTACCAATTTCGTATATTCACCTTCCCTTTTCGCTCCTTCGCAGAAGATGGGTTCCCAACAGAACGATGGCACAAGCTACGCGCCGTCGGAGCCGAAGCCATGCGCCAACAACTGTGGATTCTTTGGCACCGCCGGCACCATGAACCTTTGCTCTAAATGTTACAGAGACTTCCAAATCAAAGAGCAGCAGGCCGCCTCCGCTAAAGCCGCCATGGAGAAATCACTCAACCCTAGATCCGCTCCCTTACCTCATCAGACCCGGGAAACCGACCCCACAGCGCAGTTCCTTTTTGGAACTCCTTCGGAAGCATCGTCTTCATCGTCCGCGGTTCTCGGTGGCGATCAAGGGCAGCCAAAGGCGGCGAACCGATGTAGCAGTTGTAACAAGAAGGTAGGGTTGACTGGATTCCCGTGCAAGTGTGGGAGCACTTTCTGCGGGGCACATCGATATCCGGAGAAGCACGAGTGTACATATGACTTCAAGGTTTCTGGCCGTGATGCGATTGCCAAGGCTAATCCGGTGGTGAAAGCCCCAAAACTAGACAAGATTTAGGATCTGCCTGTGTCCTGCAACTTGTATTTTATTTGATTAGCGCATTAGAAAACGGTTTGGCTTATCTCTCTCTTTGACTCTTCGTAGCTACTAGTTCGCGGAATTAGATTGGACGGTCCAATAAAAAGTCTGATACCTGCTTGGTTATTCATGGTCGCTGAATATTTGAAGTGGCTATCTGCTTGTGCTTTCTTCATTTTGCTGGTCTTCTATATTGTTTGTAATCATCTGATTAAAAGGGTATGTGGAAGAAACAGTTTTAAAAATAATTTTACGATATATGAATTAAATATATAAAAAGAGTTTTATTTTGTTAATTTTTAAAAATGTTTTTTGTGATTATTATTTGGGTGGAATCAGATCATAATTTTAAAAATAATTTTATAATATAGAAAATATGATTAAAATTTTGACAATATGGCAATTCCTGTCGTTCATGTGCAAATTCACTCGATTTTAAATAAAGAGGGTTGTATCTCTTTAAGGTTGTTTGAATTAACTTTTTAACGTTTATCTTATGGAGTATGAGACTCTAGAGAGTAGAGAGGCGTCTGGGGGTATGTAGAAAGTGTTTTTTGAGCATACTAAATTTCTCCAAGTGCTGTTTCACTTAACTCCTGAAGGGCGTTTTCAGGTAGTCAATACAAAGGGATGTTTGGCCCATGTGACAGTGCTTTTAAAAAATATTTTTTTACAAATCAAGATAAACTTCTCTATATATTTATTTTGTATGCTATAAAATTATTTTAAAAACTACGATTTGGTTTTTATTCAAATACCACCAAAATTTGAAATGGGACAATTACAATAAGATTATGGGAAAAATCATAACATCTCTTTTTAGTATAAGAACTTGTTGGATTTTTATTTTGATTTTAATTTTAAAATTTTAATTCATTTTATCTTTTATATTTATTTTTCAAAATGATCTTTATAATAAAAATAGTTCTAGCCAATATATTTGAGTGGCAAGGATATTTTAGAAAGGAAATCTATTTATTACAAATAAATAACTAAATTAGTTTTCTAATCTATTCAAATTAATCAATAAATTTTTATATTAAGAACCGGAAGTAGTAATTATAAAAAATCTCAATGACAATCTAAAGAGACAGTAATAACAAGTTCTTTCTGAAACTTGTTTTGTAGTTATTTTCCTTCTGAAAAGCTCATTGTAATTCTTTCATTTTATATTGAGATTTCATAATTCATACCGAAAGGTGAATATTCCTGTATTTTTACCTCCTGAAATGTCCTGTTCGTTATTAGATGTCGCAACTTAGTAATTTGTGTTTCTGGTTAGATTGTAATGTGTGTCACTTGTGTTGCCACTTAGACTGAAAAATCCGTAACTAATGAAGGAACATTGTCAGCAGAGGAAAGTTTGAGATATTTCTTTTAACGTTTAGGAGAGATAATGGTTTCGTTGGAACAGGCCCTCCAGAGCTTCCCCTCATACTTATGGACTTCAGCGTCTGCTCATATACCTGGGAAGCATGAAACATATTCAACCATCACGCATACTCCTTCTCCTTAACTATGAACTGGTTCAGAAATTAGCAAGACTAAACAAGAGAAATCAAAACGGGAAAATAATCTTTTTGTACAAAAAGATAGTTTTTTTTTTTTTTAAAACTATGATGCATTGCACATGTCCAGGTCTTGTATGGTAAATATACATAAAAACTTACTATTTCTGTAAGCTTTTGTTGATTCATTTTAATTAAAAATAGGCTGAAGCTAGAAATTTGAAAATCGGTTATATGCGTTTGGGAATTGAGTCCGCGTTATGACATTTGGGTCTATTCGAGTCGGGACCTGCTTAAGCAGTCAGGTTACTTTTGACTGAGGCTATTTTACGAGCATAACTAAGAATATATCATGTGTTTTCTGATAAAATTATTTAGTTTCAACCACTAATTATAAAATTAAAAGAAAATTTTAATACTGTGCCTAATATTAATATCCATTAAGTTAATTTGCCAATCAAATCTCAGCGCATAAAATTTCTTAATCACAAAAACTTGCGTGAACAATATTTTAAAATTATGTTGTACTACCTTCGATGCGTAATATAATACTTCGTTTGACTTTTATTCTAATCCTAAATATAAGACCCTGATTTATTTTGTTTCTAATATTTATGCATTTATTTTCAAGATAGTCCTTCTAACAATGATAGTTCTAACCAACACACTTGATTAACAAGGATATTTTAGGAAAGACAAGACTTATTTATTACAAATAACTAATTTAATTTCTTTTTTTAATCTCCTCAAATTAGTTAACTAGTTCTTATATTTAGGATTGGAGGTAGTATTATTTATAATAAAAATCAAATACAGTAAAATTTGAATAGATAATTAGACCAACCATATGTGATGGCAAAAATTAGACCTACTATATAAAAGCAAATGAATATGAGTTTAATCCATTTAACATGCGCGCACGTATATCGACATCAGTCCATGAGGGTGGTGAGCTACGAGGAGGGCCCGCACGCGCGCCATTTTACTTTTTAAAACCCAACTGCTTTTTTTTTTGGGAAGGGGGACCTTTGGTATGAGACAGATATGGGCCTTGACTTTTATACGGCCCAGTTAGTATGATGAAAAATATTTTCAAAAAAGATTAAAGTAGTAAAAGGGAATGAAGGATTGGTGTGTAACATGAAATTTTTGTATAAATATTAACTTGGTATGTAAATTTATGGTATGAAAAGACTAAAGCATCCTCGGTAAATTAAAAGGAAAAAAAAACCATCATTGTGAACCTCAAATTAGCGCAGCATTAGCGTTTTTTATTTGCCAATCTTTTTGTTTAATCTTAAACATACAAATCAAATTCATATAGTTTTTTGGGCAAAATCGAGATGCTTTGTCTCGAAGTCGATGGATAATGATAAGTTGATAATTGAGATAATCGTAACGGAACACTTGGAGAAAAAGGTGAGGTTAAAGCCGCAACAAGGGATAGATGTTATAAGCATATTCCAACAAGAAAGAAGCTGGTTAAGAATCTACGACCCAACCGGTAAAATTATAAAAATATACACACAAAAACGAAAATGTAAGATTCGTGTTTTGTTGACACGATCAAGAACCCTATCCTGTTTCTTCATCTGTACCAAACCAATTTATCGAAGAAAATTGACCGAGGTATTTCAGCTACGTTCAATTTAATTTATTCACAGGTTGGGGCTAACTTTACTAGCATATTTGTAATTGGCAATTAAAAAAACTACTGAAAATTACACATACAAGACAGGAAACAATATAAATGCTACATTTTCTATATAAAAAAAGAAAGATGAATGCCAAAGCATTTTCAATATAATAAGAAACGAGAATTAGGAATTATTCATTATCTAATCTTGCACACAATTTATAATTGAAAAAAGAAAAATTAAACAAAAATAATCGAATCAAAGACTGAATTCAATTTAATTCAGTTTGGTTTTCAGTTTTAATTCAAAACAAGCAAAATGACTCTTTTATAGGAAAAAAGCTAACTTTTTAAGAGGTCAGGTTTCTGGAGGTTGAATATGTGTGTGTGTGTGTGTGTGTGTGAGTCTAGAAGTTTAATCAAACAAACAGAAAGTGGAACCTCTTATTTAAAGAAGAGCCAAACAATCCCATATTAATGCTAAACCCCGATCTATGAGAATGAAGGAGATCATGAAAGATGTGAAAACATTGCTGTTTATCTACGAAGGGAGTGAAGATTAGTCTTTTGAAGACAATCCAATGCAACTTGGCTTGCAAGTATGCATACATATAGGCTGTAGCTCAAATTAAACTGGAGATAAAATGATGTACGTAAAATCAGCAAACATAGATATACATCCCAACTATTCTTTTTAGTGTGTATTAAAAAGAAAAAAGAAAAAATTAAAAACAGAAATATGAATGCTTTGTTGGATGGGAATGAAAAACGAAAAACGATCTTTTCTCCTGCAACTAATTAGGAAGCAAAGGAATGAACTGTACTGATGATTTTCATACCAATTCCTCAACAGTATATATAAGCACCTTTAATTATATAAAAATATAATACGCGAGCTGAGTTCATATAGATAAGATTAACACAGCCACGTGTCCTTGCCTCCATATCTTCTATATATATCCATGTCTCCTCTCCTGTCCCAGTATAATCCCATGTATCGGAGGAAGAAGAGGTAAGCCAACAATCCTGGGATGGGATGTTTTCTGGAAATTCAAGCTTTGGGTGGACAAGTAGTGTAAGCGCATGGAATATTGTGATTTGGTTGTGTGTGTGTGTGTCTATATATATATGTGTGTGTGTGTATGTATATATGGCTTCAACTCCAGAGAGCTGTGTGTGTGTATCCAGCTGTGTGGTCGATTACATGCGTGAACAAGAGAGAAGCTACATCTTGGTAATGATTGCCTTTAATTTCAATGCAAACATTTAGAGACTGCATGCCTCGAAAAAGAGCTATCATCAGACACTGCATGTGTGCTGGCCAGGCACCAACAGTTACACGCACGTATACATCTATTTAACTACACCATACAAATAAACACACACGATTCCCATATATATAAATGTGGGCATGGCGCTGAAGTTTTGTCATATAGAAATGAGGTTTGATGAATACCCTAGCTACCTTCAGAGCTGCGATCCACAGTAATGTTACTCTAGATGACGAAGACGAACATATCAAAACGAGAGAAAGGACTCAATGAATAATTCGCAGAGCTGTAGCCATAAACGGAATAGTGAGTTTACAAACACTTCACGCACTGTGTAAAGGAACAACATTAATAGACAGAAGCAGCTTCGGCAATCGCAACTTCGATCACTAGCTATTTGGTATCGTTCTCTTCGTCCTCGATCTCCAATTGTCTTACCGCTACAACAACCATCACTAATTACTCTCCTACAGGCTTCTCTTGAACTGAACCAAATGCGCACGCACCCTTATTCTCATCAACTCAAACTCACCACGAACCATAGCAGTTTACAGTCTCAGTTGTCAAAGCCAAGTAAACATATATGATCACCTATCTAATCAATCGATGAACTAAATTAAATCACGCACAAATCCTAGGAGAAGCTTACCAATTAATTAAGCTAATGTCGTGGGTTCATGTTTGAACATCATACGTCTGACCTTTCTAATAAGTTGACAGAGAATCAATCTGGCGTGGAAGTTACGATGCTTCATCCGAATGGAGGACGAGCAGTGGCCCAGAAAGGCTGATCAGAAGGCATCTGCATAGAATTGAGAAGATTAGGAGGCAAAGCATGCATGAGTGGCGATGTTGTGTCCCCTAATAGCGGTGCTGTTGCTGACCAACCCCACCTGGTGACCCAATTCCGGGAGGACCTTGAATCGCCGCCGATGGGTCTTCTTCCTCCAAAGGAAGTCTCTCGTAAGCAGCGTTGCTAAACGAAGCCGCCATGATCACCACCGGTCCCGCAGCCATAAGCGCTCCTACTACGGTTCCCCCGACCACCTGACCTTGCCCGCCAGCCAAATATATGGTCAAACCGGATGCGGCGGGTGGAGCCGGTGGCGGCAAGAAGGAGCCAGCGAGTGACAAGATCTCGAACCTTCCGTGAAGAGTGACGACAGCACCGGAAGAAGCGGGTTGCCTCAAAGTGACATTGGTGACGGTGCCGGTGCCGCTCATAATACAAACCCCTCTCTGGCGTCGCCTGGCGAAGCTGGACACGCTTTCGACGATGTCACAGCCGTCAGCTACCTCCATGACGTGGGTTCTAAGGGCATTCGCACTGTCTCGGGTTATGATGATGGGTGGTTTGGGTTTGTTCTTGGATCCGGAGGGTCTGCCTCGAGGCCTTCTCGTCATTTCGCCACCACCTTCTCCGTTCATATTGCCTTGATCGTTGTTGTTATTGTAGCTGGTTTCTTCGCGTTCTCTCTTGTGGGCGAGGTTTAGGCCACTGCTGCTTCCGCTTTGTTCCTCTTCTGTGTTTTGGTGTAGAGACTGAAATTGATGCTCATGCTGGGACTGCTGGTGCATATGGAATGGTGGAGGAAGAGAGTGCCCATGCCCTGCCATCGGATCCATTCCTAGTCCTTTAATATTATCCTCGAATTGATGGCTTTGACTTGTAAGAGAATAAATCGGCCAATTGTCTGAAGCAATAAACAAAATCAGACTTGGACTTCAAAAATTGAGCAAGGCGACCGGTGCTACTTCTAAAGGAATCAAGTATTGATATTTATGATGACTACTATCTAATCTCTGGTTGTCTCTCTGTGAACTTCGAATGGAATAGTAAGAAACCTTCAACTGGAAAGAAAGAGATGATCTGAGAAGAAATTGATGTCGGTGGCAGCAGTCACCGCGCAAAGACTTCTTATGGATTTTCTTTCTTTGAGCTGAGCTTCAAACGCATTCGTGAAGAGTGTCCATAGTAGCGGGTGGTTCGGGGAATGGAACTATATGAAGAGAAAAGAGAAGAAAAGCTCGAGAAGGAGCTTCTTATATAAAAACTGGTGTGTGAGTTAGGGTTAGATGAGATCCAGGACACATGGATCCCAACTTGTTTTGGTTTGGGTGAGATCCTGCTTTCCCGTGGGCGGCGGGTGGGTCCCCCTCCCTCACTCTATTTATCTATCCATACAGTTACTTTCGTTTTACATCAAGTCCTCATGTTTTATCTCCACTTTCACCGTACAAAATTTCTCAACAACAGCTTCCATGATCGACTGATATAACAAGTATGCCCTAATATGCATGTATTTAATTTGCAGCTTAAAATGCCTAGTTATATATAAATTAAGCGGGCTTCTCAAGATCATTATTTTCCATATGCAAGCACACAAATCGAATGGGGTTACTTGTGTAACTGATAATGAGTTATGATAATTCTGATGAACAAGGAAATAAACTGTAACTAGGTAGCTAAGTAGCTGACAAGGATCAAGCAAGGTAAAAGGTTAGGGGTTTAGAACCTATAAACTTGGAAGTATTGCGCCGCTGCTTTAGATTATTTAGTGGGGACGGACAGAGTTCATTATAATGAAGGAGCAAGCATACTGGTGAATTAATGGCTTGATAAATCTGAAGTAGTACTTGCTTTTGGTCGTTTCCTGATGTGTGTGTATATATATAAACACGTTAAGACAGGAAACTGGGTGTGTTTTAAAAAAATGAAAGAATAGCTGGCACAATTAAAAGAGGAGTAGGGAGAGAGATGAGGTAGGAGCTTCAAATTTCAAAGAGGACCACATGCGCCACCTGGGACTCCTGCAAACTCCATGTTTTATAATGTTACTGCTATTGTCAAAGTCTAAGCTTTAAGGAGGAGCCTCATCCACTTGCTGAAAGCCTGACGCGTGTCTCTTCCCCCCCGCTTCTTTCGGGTCCATTCACTTTCCCTTTCATTCTACTCTCCTTCTTCTCTGCCACCATTCATGACTAACTACTGCCTCTCCCATGTCTCATATAGTAGTATGCGCGCGCGCGCGCACACACCCCCAACGGATCGATGACCTAACAAGGTCGAATTAATCAGCATCCTGACAAAATCTGGCCAATCAGTGAATCTCAGCCACACGTTAAACAAATATGAACGTATTCGTATATGTGTATTATTTAGTGGTGTTGTTTTTGTCGGACATGATGGGCCAAGATAAAACATATGTCAAGTAGTGGGGTATGAGGAGGAAGAGGAAAGTTGGTGGAGAAAAGAGGAAGGGAGGCATATGCACTATATTATACTCCTCCGGTCCTAATTATAAGACCCAATTGACTTATTTGAGGAGATTAAGGAAGTAAGTTAAGTTGGTTATTTATAATAAATAAGTGTTGTCATTCCTAAAATATCCTTGCTAATTAAGTATTGGCTAAAACTATCATTATTAGAAGGATTATCTTGAAAAAAATGCATAAATATAAGAGACAAAATGGATTGGGGTTTTATAATTAGGACCAAATAAAAAGTCAAATGGGGTCTTATAATAAGGACCGGAGGAGTATTATCTCATATCCTTAATATAAGAGTTTGTTTGACTTTTATTTTGGTCCTAAATATAATACCTTAATTTTCTCTCATATTTATTTATTTTTTTCTAAGATAATGTTTGTAATAATAGTAGTTCTAACCAATATACTTAATTAACAAGGATGCTTTAAAAAAGACAATACATATTCATTACAAATAACTAATTTAATTATTTTCTCTAATCTACCCAAATTAGTCAAGTAACTCTTACATAAAGGACAAGAGGTAGTACATAGTTTTCAAGAATAGAGAAGGCTTAAAAAAACATATACAACCTCTTATATGATTAACTAACTTAACCTTTTTTTTTTTTTATGTTTATGTGAAAGTAAGTATATAAGAAAAAAGGGAATGAGACGAATATATGTGGAGTTAGAGTTGAAGCTCGGGATACATGGATCCACTAGCACTTAAGAGAGGGTGGAATCCCAGTAACTAGTCACTAGGAGCACGCACGCACTGCCATGAATGAGTCTTACGAAAAGATAACGTAGCAGCAGCGGTCCATTGTGGGCCTCGAAGATGGAGAGGCTCTCTTTTAGCTTCTCACTTTTGTTTTCTATATATTAAAATCTGTACTTGTAACTGGCCATATATACACATTGGGTATGGTGTAATTAAATTAAACTATTATATGATGAAAGCTACTCATCAAAATGAAAGAATGATGTAGAAGTAACAACACACCCATCTGGTCAAAAAAAAACAACACACCCATCCAATGAAATGCCAACAAATATATATATGTTATGAAAGTGCAAAGCCATATCTATCTATCTGTCAAGTAAAATGAATGTATGGGAAAGAAGGCGGAGGCAGCGCTGAATGAAAGCACAGGAGGATCGCCGGAGGGCGTGCTGCTCTTTCTGGAAGATGCTCTTTGTCCCTCTTCTCTCTCTCTCCCTCCCTCTGTCTCTCTCCAGGACCACCCCCTTCCTCTCCTTCTTCTTCTTCTTCTACATCCATCGCCTAACTCCCCGGCTCTCAGAGGATGACATGTAAACCAGGCAAGGGATGAACCTTGCTTATGTAGTTATTCATTTATATAATCTCTCTCTCACAACAGACACATCAATCTTTATCGTCGTCTGCTCATGTATGCACACACGAATACAAAGGTCCTACGGCTAATATGTCATTGACTTAGGAATGAATGATGATTTGTGAATATATATATATATGTGTGTGGTTGAATATGATTTTGAGAAAATAATACGATTGGGATGCTGCTGAAAACTAATCAACATATTTGATGCAGCTGATTTAAATTACTAGGACAGAAACGAGAAGAAGGCTAATATCAAAGAAGCAAGTAATAAAAAGGGGAAATGAATAGAATAGAATTAAATAGAAAAAAGATATTTTAATTTAGAAAAGATAATACTTATTTCTTGCGAATAATTAACTTAACTAATTTTTTTAATTTATTTAAATTAGTTAACTAACTGCTTTATTAAGAATAAAAACTATCAAAGAAGCAAGTAATAAAAAAGGGAAATGAATACAATAGAATTAAATAAAAAAAGGGGGGGGCATGTGATTGTGTGAAGAGGGGGCAGCCTTCCCAACGCGAATATGGGTCATTGCATGCTTCTGCACAGTGGCAGATCACAAGTGACAAAGCCCCCACGTTTGTGCTTCATCTTCTTCTTCAATCAACCAACCTGTCTCACATTTAAGTATCACTATTTCTCTCCCAATACGACAAATCTCATGCTTCCACATGAATTTTGACTCACCCCTGCTTTCATTTGGAATCATTTTCTTGGACGCCGCTTCTAATGAATTAAATATAGGTGTGGACTCGCGCGTGGAGATGATTACATTGACGTGGGCCGAATATCAGATTAGGTGAATCCCCTTAGGAGCCCGTTTTTATTGATCCCATGGGCCTCAACTCATTTCAGGTTCTGTGCGTTCTTTGGATTCGCTGCATATTTCCAGTTTCCACTGTGTTTGTACATTACAAAAAAGGGAAGAACAATGGATAATTGCATCATAGAAGAAGAAGAATTGAACAAAAGGAATTGAACTGTTTGCAAATTATAAATAATATGAGCTATCACTTAAATTTCCTGCAATAAACCGAAGAAGTTTAGGTGGCTCATATTTTGGGAAATTTCAAAAACTATGATCTAATTATTGGTAGCATGCATTGTTTTATTTTCTTATTTTTCATACGTTTCAGTGAACCAACCAAAGTGCTTAGACAAGCCTCTTACTGTAGCATTTCGGTTTAATAGATGTCGTTATAATAATATCAATAATATTTATTCACAAATGAACATAATGCATGCAGCTCTCGTTCTTAGAAAATATCCCTAGATTTTTTTTTGAAAAAACTTATTTTAATCAAGCTTCAAGTCTCTCTCTCTGTTTTTTTTTTTCAATTTGGCTTTAAGTAATTTCTCAGTGCAGGACGGATATATGTAATTACCTAATTAAACAGTCCGCTCATCACTTTCCTCTTAACAGCTATCCTTGGTGCACCTTATGGAATATGAATATACAGTCCATGTTGAAAACACTTCTCAGAAACAAGTTACCTACGTCTCATTTTCTTAGGATCCGCCAACTCAAATATCATTAAAGGACCAAATTTGTTTTGTGGGTAAAAAAGAAATCTTTCTCGACCATCTTGACAACAACTCAACCAGTGAGTCTTCTATTGCTCGCTTATGAATCCTGGCTATCCAATCAAACTCCAGGCCGTTGGCAATAATGAACAGCAACTGACTCGGAAGTCACATGTGTTTTGATTGATCGATATATTATATGTCCTTAATATAAGAGTTAATATGACATTCAATTTAGTTCTAAATATAAAACTCCAAGGTTCTAATCCGTTTTCTCTCTCATATTATCTATTTTTTTAAAGTAATCTTTATAGTAATTACACATATCAAATGTTCAATCAACTGGTAGTTCTAAGTTTCTAACTAATACAATTGATTAATAAGAGTATTTTAGAAAAAATAACACATATTTATGACAAATAATTAACTTAGTAAACTTTTTTAATATATTCAAATTAGTTAACTAATTTTTATTAAAATAGTATTATATTATTGTTCCGATCTATTTCACCCCACTATTGACTTTTGTAGGCTTTGATGAGTTGATAGCCATGTCTGTCGCATTTATTACATCAATCATGCATTCCATATAATATAAAATCATTCCCCCTTGAATTGGGCTTGGTTTACAGATACGGAGAGAATCCCTAATTATTGTTAACATCTGACGGGATTTATTGGTTATTATTATATCTGATTAACTATTTCCTTTTTTCACATGCTATGACATGCAGAAAATAGATTAAGTTACAGAAAGCTAAGTGAAACCTGATATGACTATTTCTACTTGTGGCTCAAGCAACCTAGTAATAAGCGAATTATTTGAATCCTAGAATTAGTTTCTTATCCAAGTTGTTTACCCCAGGGTAGTGAGTTGTGACGCAGAGGAAGAAGCTGTGTGGGTGCAGAGAATCCATTATATATCATGAAGAAAAGACTCTTTGGATCCTTGTGAAATGATGATTGGAGATCATTTAATTAGTGGGAATCGTCTTGTTGTGCGCACTCTGGCCTAAATTGCAAGTACTTCCATCTTCTTTTGTATTAGGCTCCATCTTTGTATCATAAAAGCTGTTCGAGTTGCCGTCTTAAAAAATCTTTCTTGACCATCTTGACAAAGCAAAGAGGTACACCTCAATTTCCACTTGGACCATTTGTTTATCATATATTTGGACGAAAGGTACTCCCACACAACTCTACGTCTCTCATTCTCAATTATTTCTTGCTTTCCAAGTGGTTTCTTACTTTCTTTTGTCGATGTGTTTCTCCCCTTTTATCAATATCACTTAATTACCTTTTCATCAACCATCAAGAAAGTAGAAACGACGTTTTTTCATTCTTTTCCTCTCTTTAAATCGTATGGCTCTAATGTCCAATCTCTCTTTAATGCCTAACCGCTCTTTCCTTCTTGTGGTTTGGTGCCATGTATTTGCATTGTAACAAGCTTTCTCTGGATCTGCAAGTTCCACAATTATTGAGCGAAGCTTTCTTTGCCATAAATGCTTCCAAATTATGAGATATGATTGGAGGCCAAGCTGTGAAATGATGATCTAGTTAGTGGGGAGGAAAAGATAAGTACATGATTAGCTTAGGTTGTGTTCATGGACTAACAACCATTTCCTCCCACCTTATCACTTTACAGAGAGTGCTCTGTGAATCTATGCTTAAATGGGAAGTGGATATTAATAATGGGGACCAGAAGAAATGGGCCACCTTTCAGAAAAGGATTTTGTAGGTCCCTTAATTAGGATTTGTATTAGAGCAAGTCCTAGAAGGAATCAAGTAGCTAGATAGTCCCAATATACTTAGTTCACGTTATTAATAGGTGTGCTGCGAATTTTGCAATTTTTATATCATGACTGATTGATTGTGCGTCTGTTAAACTCACACCTGTTGTATGGGTATATTTTTATTCCTCATGCTTATGTTTATTCTTTGAGATTCTCCCATATCCTCCTAAGGCTTATTTTCTTAGACTCAATATCACATTTAAAATTTAATTTTCCTTGTGGGATATTATAATCTTTCCCACCACATTAGAGTCTTAATTAAGCACATTCCACACAAGAATATAATCTCTCTCGCACCACTACCAAAGAAGCCAACAGAAGCGCTTACAACAATCCTATTGGGCAAAATGTCAGTACCGTATTGTGAAGATTAGTGGAGTTAGAAATCTTTCTAAAAATTATCATAACGTGATGAATTAATATTTAAATTCTTAATGAAAGATGTGTCTATATTTAATACTCAATAATATTTCAAATATGATTGTTTGAGAGAATACCCGTGCTTATTAAAAAAATATTTCTAACAAGAAATATGTATCAAGCAAGACTTTAAATGGTTTCAAAGCAATTAAAACCAACATTCATAATATGCGATAGATGTAAATTTCTTAGTCTAAATTCTTTAACAATTTGTGTCAGTTTACATGGACAAGAGTATGCGGGGGAAGAATATGATCTTTAAAGGATAAGTTTTAAACGCATTTATCTTGGTAGATTATTCTCCAATGCATACTTAAAAGGTTAAATACATTAATATAAAATAGGAAGCCTCTACGATTCCGATGACAATTTATTAAATTTGTTGATGGAATTTTGTATGGCTTTTCAGCACTTTAAACAATTGAGTATATATCAACACAAGGAAAAAACCTACCAATCGCACTCTGAAGAGTGAAGAGTGATATATAATAACTAAACGTCGCTACATTGATTTATTAATTATCAAACATGTTATCGAAGTTATTAATACATATCAAAGTTATTCCAACATACAGGAAGTTATTACTAAGCACATGATTCCACTTTATTCTACACTATAAAATTAAACGCAAGAATTTAATGAACTTGATATTCGTCCATAAAGAATCAAAAGATTATATTCCCATATATATCTACATGTTAAAGCCTTGGTATCCTCTTCATATCCTGCAGTATTCAAGTCAATGGGAGTGGAATCACAGATGAACTTAACCCCCCACTCCCTGGTACTAAAGACATATATTCCATTCAGTGATTTTATTCTTGATAATTTTCATTATTTAACAAGAGCTATGACTTTTAAAATAGCTCGTCGTTTCACAAACACAGCGACTTACCGAGTCAATATCGTGTGTGTGTGTGAAAATTAACGTGTCCTATAAAATAATTATGGCGTGCTAAGCGGTTCTCTCTGCATCTCTTTTTATGAGAAACAATCTCTTTTATGATGGCATCTCTAAATGTAAGAAACAAATTCTAATTTGTCTGAAATTTTGAAATGTTCTTTCTACTTTTACCCCCCATTAAATATATATCACCTATTATCTCTTTGCAATAAACTTTTACTCATTATCTCTCACATATTTTCTTTACAAACAAAGACATAATTGAAAAAATATGTATACATCCTATATATTTATTGTTTTTAACTAATATTTTGAATTTCGTCATTTTGATAATTGTTTTTTCTAACAAGGAGGGAGTAAAAGTTAGTAATATATATGGAGCACACACGAAACTTTTTCCAAAGAAAACGCCTCAATGAAAAAAAGATGTTGTGGGAGGTAATCGGAAAATGCACGAGACTCTTTATTCAGCAGTTCTTGCAAATGGGAATAAGTGCGATAACCAGCCAGAGTCGTAGTTCATACGCACTATCCAAATATAAATCTATATATATAAGTTAACCAACAATCTCTTTAAGTGGCAACAAGAAAAAGCCTATCTTTCCTAGAAAACGATTAGTCCCTCACGAAACTCATGCACTAGACCTGTTTCCGATCTCGTGTCCAACCCACAAATAAAGCCAACGCATAACTGCATCTTCAACATTCCTTTACCCAGCAGCAACATTATTGAGCTCACCAAAAATGTCATCAGCAACATCTAAATCTGATAAAACCACCCAAGACGCTCCACCTTCGCCGTCTGATGCTCAAGAATGCCCTCCCGGTTTAGTCAAGTTGGTGCTTTCGGAGCTGAACGTTCAACGGAGAATAGCCATTCCGTTGATGGCCATGAACTTTGCTTGGTTTGCCAAGACAGCCATCACGACTGCTTTTCTGGGCCGCCTTGGTGAGCTCAACTTAGCCGGTGGTGCCCTCGGTTTCACTTTTGCTAATGTTACCGGCTTCTCTGTCTTGAACGGTCTCTGTGGCGCCATGGAACCCATCTGTGGTCAAGCTCATGGTGCCAAGAACTTCAGGCTCCTTCATAAGACGCTTCTCATGACAATCCTCTTGTTGCTCGTCATAACACTTCCCATCTCTTTCTTGTGGCTTAACATTGACACAATCTTAATTCATTCTGGCCAACAAAAAGATATTTCAGTCGTGGCCAAAACCTATGCCAAATATCTCATCCCCGACTTGGTAGTCACCGCATTTCTCTGTCCCTTGAAAGCCTACTTGAGCTCTCAAAGCATAACTGTCCCAACCATGTTCAGTTCAGCCTTAGCCCTTGCTTTTCACATACCCACAAACATAGTCCTCACAAAGGCTATGGGCCTCAGAGGGGTTGCAATGGCGGTTTGGATAACTGACCTGATATTTACAATTCTACTGGCCACTTACGTTTTGATTCTGGAAAACAGGAAGGAGAACAGGTGGAGGGAAGGAGGGTGGTGGGATCAAAGCATTTATAGTTGGATAACGTTGCTGAAACTCAGTGGATCATGCTGTTTCTATACCTGCCTTGAGTGGTGGTGTTATGAGATTCTAGTCTTGCTCACTGGCCACCTGGCAAACGCTAAGCAAGCAGTGGGAGTTTTAACCATTGTGCTCAACTTCGATTATTTGCTATTCTCAGTCATGTTATCCCTAGCCACCTGTGTTTCGACCCGTGTGTCCAATGAGCTTGGTGCGAACCGAGCGGTTCGTGCTTACCGGTCCGCCTGTGTGTCTCTGGCCGGAGGCATATTGTCAGGTTGCGTAGGCAGCTTGGTGATGGTGGGCGCGAGGGGAGTATGGGGCCCCCTGTTCAGCAATGACGGGGGAATCATAAGGGGGGTGAAGAAGACGATGATGCTGATGGCTCTTGTGGAAGTGTTCAATTTTCCACTCGCTGTTTGTGGAGGCATAGTAAGGGGAACGGCTCGACCATGGTTAGGCATGTATGCCAATATTGGTGGATTTTATCTCCTGGCTCTGCCTCTGGGTGTGGTTTTTGCCTTCAAGCTCCATCTTGGGCTCAGTGGACTATTTTTTGGACTAGTGATTGGTATTTTCGCATGCTTGATGCTCATACTGGTATTTATCTCCAGGATAAAGTGGGAGGAAGAGGCTCGCAAGGCACAAACACTAACCTCAAGTGTTCAGGACCAAGAAGTATTTGATGAAAATGAACAAACAGAAGCCCTTGAAAATGTTAAAAGCACAACAATTACTAGTTCAATTTAGAAAACATGTATATCTGCATCACTCGTGCTCAGCTTAACCATGCAGCATAATCAAGATCGAGGCCATACTTCTGTAGATTGGTTGAGTTTTTTCTTGGTTTAAAACTCCATCTTCATTCTTTATTGCCTCCGTAATCTGAGATGTTTTCTGCAAATCACTGCAAATTTACAATCACTGTAAAATGCTCCTGAATATGTCACTGCTCTTTTTTCGCATTATGGTGGGGGTGGTTTATTCTGTTTCTTCTTCAACTATATTTGAAAGTAGAAGACCTGCAATTTAAATCAATGGAGCAGAACAGCCCATTCATCTATTATACAATTAAATGCAACACTGATTACAACGCACTCAAAGCAATTCTTTTGTTTATAAATATCAAAGCAAACATCAATCATCTGTAAACTTTGGATTAGATATCAGGGCCTCTAGCTCTTTAGCTTTCTCGGCATCAAAGCCAAGGGCAGCCAGTATCTTGTGACCAGGTGATTCTGCTTCAGCCCAAATGCCCAGAAGTAAATGTGTTGTAGTAATTTCCCCATCATGACCTGCAAAGTCCCATATGGAGTTGCAATTGGATTAAATTTTTAGCATTATGCAAAGATAAGAATCAGACAGAAACCTATTGATCACAACTTTTTTCTGGGGCTTGAGTTTATATATATTCAAGACACCAGAAAGCGAAACTACTGCCTGAAGCAAACCTGTTAGCGTTGATACTTATTAAGTTTTCATTTTTCTTTTTAGTGATAATGAAAACTCACGTCACTCATAATAAACAAAATAATCTTACGGGTGCCATTAAGACCAACTAAAATGGTAAACACCATCGAGAAAGTTGCCAGTTCTCTCTAGGAAGCAAGGACCCACGAATGTTTCTCTGTTTAGCTATAGAAAGAGGTCTTAACGCCATCCTGATAAGTATTTGATGCATAATTAAAGATCTTCTGGCAATCATGACTCCCAAAAGCAGAATTCGGGTCTTCTCTATAATTTATATCCAAAGGATAATTCACAACACAAGCGAACTAAGACTAAGCCATCATGACCTGGATATAGTTTGACTATTCATTATGGTATTAAAAACAAAACTTTTAATGTTATTCCAGCGCAATTTACTTGACTGATGAACAATTGAAAGCTGCTCACCTAGTATATGCATAAAGTAAAAACTTCAACAATGAAATTCAACCACTGTTTTTAACTTATCAGGATAATTGCCAAAGATGCACATGTCATACAGAAATAGAGAAATTGAAGAGATAGCAACATACAGACCAAAGAACATGTAATTGTTTCCCGAGTTCTACGCTCTACTGTAGATGAGAAAAATAATAGCAACAAACCAGAATTAAGTTTCCGATCAACAGCCCAGTCAAGGGCCCTCTGAGCTTCTTCAGTTAGTGGAGGATGCTCAGGACTGAAGAAATACAAATCTGCTTTTCCAAGTGCCTTCAAAGCTTCATCACGCACCTTTAGAAGTGTGATTCCATTGGCTCGCAAGTATTTCGAGGCTGGACTAGTTCCTACAGCCCAAAAAGGGACTCAGCATAATGCATAAACTTACACATGCAAAATCCTTATTGCTTATATATTTGAGGAGGAGGAGGAGAAGATATGGCAGCAAGAAAGGGGAGGAAATAAATACAAGGCTCTGAAACACAAAAAATGTCATGACTTTGCCATATAAAAGAATTGAAGCGTGATCTATAGAGTTAGTGCCAACAGATGTCATACGTCCAGTAGTTTTGCCTGCAGCATCCAGATTTATGTTCAAACGAAGCAGGTAAACAGAGTTGGACAATTTTCATGAGGCTCCCCGTGAAAGAAAACCTCTTTCAGTGGTCTGGCGATTGCCAAAGTAAATATTGACTATAAAATGGGGGAAAAAAAAATGTGAGAAGTTATCTTATGGAATTGGTGAGGATTTGAATAGACTTGGCCCAGCACTAAGACACCATTTGAAGGATAAAATTTGTAAGCTACCAGTACTTTTATAAACCTGTAATGGCAGCAGAAGACAAGCATTAGCAGTTGGGAGTTGTTTGTAATGGGTTGCAAGCATAAACAAGGCAGACCATTCTGAAAGTGGTGATGGTTAGTTGGCGGTTAGCTTGGAATTGGCAAAGCGGTAATTGACATTGAAATATGACGCACATTGTGCTTGTGCTTGTGGCATTCCTAATAAGAAGATGCAACAGCATGTGAGGACTACAAAATAATTGGACACACAGATTGAGGATTGAAGGCTTTGGCATGCCCGCAAGCAAAAAACCAGAAACACAGGATATGCAATATAATGTGTGGCCTATTTTCCCACAGGAAAAACATATATTAGGACTCAACATTTGTTCTCAGCGTCAACCTTAATTATAAAGAAGAACATGTAGACACTGTTATATGGCATGACAACTGGAAAACGATAAGAAGGCTTAGGATTGACGAATTGGCCTACCCTCGATAAGAACTCCCATAAGAAGGGATTCAGTACCAGTATTGGGATACTTGAGTTTTCTCGCCTCCAGTTCAGCCATTGCAAATGATTTTATAGCCTTCGAAGACCATCTGCTTCCGTCAAATGCAATTAATTGTCAGATTCTTATAAAAAGGCGATGGAAAGAAAAAAAAAAAGGGCCGTACTAGTTAGAGAAGATGGAAAATCTACATAGGAGAGACAACTGAGTTCAATAGAAAGTTTCATTTTCAATAATTTTCAGTTGACTTCCGGAGAACATGACGGAGGTCAACAGTTTGTTTGTACCAGGCAAAGGCGAAGTAATTTTCACTCCAAAATAAGTAAATATCCAACTCCATACATTTCAAGTAATTCGACTCAACCAAGCAAACCTCCAACGACGAAAGCAGCAAAAAGACGGATAGGAAAATGTACTCACTTGGGAACTTTCTGGCCGGAAGAAACTCGCTCGGGATCTCTGCAAATAGGAAATGAGAAGCAATCTGGAAGACCCAAGATAAGGGAATTGAATCGAGAGAAATGGAGAAATGTGGGATTTGGACTTACGCAGTCGGGAGGCTGAAGGAGACGATGGCGACGAAAGGGCGGAGCTTGGACACGGGTGTTCTGACATTATTAGGTTGAGGTTGAAGCCAAAGTTTGGTACCCAGCCATGAATTGTTAAGGATTTGAGGTTGAAGAGGATGAGCATGGAAAAGCCTTCTGAAATCCGACCGCAATACCAGATTTGTTGTGGAAAGCTGGGACAAGAAGTTCGCAGCAGCCATCGTTAGTTCTCAACAAAATGGAAAGATTGGCTCTTGGAGTTCATGGACTTTGCCCATTCCGGGGTTTTAGTTTAGTTTGGGATGGAACGTTGAGTGTTGGGAGGAAACACAAAAAACATACGGCGTCGTTGGAAGCTGATTTGGGCTAACACTCCCAAGTCATGATCCAATGAAAGGCCCCGTTTGGTTGTACCAAAAAAAAATTGGTTGGGCCTATGAATTAACAAACGATTCTGCCTGATACAAAGTTGTGCCAAAATGAAAATGATACAAAGTAGCCTTCGGGACTTGGAGATTGGTACACAATACGCAAACCTGGGCTTACAATGCTGTCCTACTTGTTCTCCCCAAAAGCGCAACGCCAATTCCATGGAAACTTGTATTTAAAAACGAAACATGGAAACCAAACTGGTATCTTTTTTTTTTTTTTTAATTGTTGTAGACGCACAGAAGAGGGCTCTCTATGTCCTGAATGCTGTGATCCGATCTACGACTGAATATTCTACAGGAGCTGGTTAACTTTCATTTTTGAGAGTCTTGAGCTGTACAGTTACATCGACTTGTACCAGCTTCTGTAATAAACTTGATTATGGGCTGGGCCACTATCTCTCTGGTGCATATTGGAACATTAAGGGGTTTAGTAAACAAAACAGACTGATGAACAATGTCATGAGCTTGATTTGACAAGCTAGTGAACACATCCATTTGCCATTCACATCTTTCATAAGGAAATCTTTGATTTGCTTTAGCCAAGCTTCCCAGTTAAATTTCTGGTTATATTGATAGTGATGATCATAGTTATTATTTCAGCAGACTCAATAATGACCTTTCCAGCATATTGATAGTCCTTGGATTTAGTTCTTGGCTTGTGCTGCTCATCTTTATGACAGAGCTTTATGGCAAACATAAGACGGCCACATCGTTGAAGTCATAGTAACGCAAATTAGGGCGAGGAAAAAGAAAAGGCTAGTGCATTGATGTAGTAAGGAGTGGTAAAATCTCATACTTAAATCACCATGTTACACAGATTAAAGGTGGTGCGATGCAGGAAAGGCGGAGTGAACGACGTGTGATGATGATAGACAATGAAGTGAAGGAGGACGTATGGGTGATGTCAGAGGGCGTGGGACTGAAGGGAGGGAGGGAAGGTGAGGAAGATTCTCCAAATCCAAAGGAGAGGTCCCTCGATTTTGGGACAGCTGGACAGTATCATCAAGCGGCGCGCACAAAGTCAACCTAATATGTTCATCTGACTGTGTCTGATCCAATGTTGTGAGGTGGGTCCTCCCTTCCAGCCTGTCCAATCACCCAACTCAAACCGCTGGCAAATACAACATGCACCGCATAAATTTTATCGCTGCTATTTTCCCTCACTTCAACTTCGTGCCCATAATCACATGTATTTTCTCTCTTCCATTTAATTTTATCCCCATAAGTGTGGTCTGAAATACCAAGACATGACATTATTTCTAACTTCCCTATTAAGAGGGTGTTTGGATACCCTGAAAAGTACTTTTCAGAAACACTTTTCTGCAAATTGAGATAAACTCCTTCATATATTTACCTCGTACACTGTAAAATTACTTCTAAAACCATGATTTGATTTCCATCTAAACACTCTTTAAACCATGCAAAAAATAGAATTCCATTGGCTAAAAATACCGTTAGTTTATATCTTTATTTCCTTAAAACACAATGAAAAAAGGAGCACAATCAATTTGAATGCTACTAAAAAGGGTAGCATCACAAGTGCAATATTACATATATAAATATGACGATCTGAGGGAGAAAAGGAAATGTGGGGAGGAGTAAGATTATAAGATGGAATGAGTTGAATGAATGAAGGGCCAAGCAGACAAAAGGGGCAGCAAATCAGATTCGACCAGGTCCATCTTGCATGCCCCGTCCCCCATTCTGGGCCTCCCCGTCCACAATCAGCCTCAAATTTTTCTGACACCCATCATCACTACACCATCACCTGCTTTTAGACTTGTATCGTATCCTATATTTATTCTCCAAGTCATTTTTGTCTCTGAATTACTATTACTTCTCACGCTTTAATATAATTGTTATCCTAGCCTTACAGTGACAGTATTTCCAAATACTTATTTTGATTGTAAGCTTATTTAAAATAGTTTATAAGTAGTTTTTCAATCCTAATTTATAAAATACGAGGTAAATATATGATAAGAGCTTTATTTTGACTTACATAAAACGTGTTTATAAGTAATTTCTAACACTATACCAAACAAGTCCTGTTTCAATTAATAAAAAGGGAGTACGGGATACATTCGTTAGTCACTTGCTCGTGCCTTTTGGTTTATTTACACTTCTCACATATATCTGGTAGGTGCGTGCGGACCTGGTGGATGGATATACAAGTCGAATGGAAAATAGAATTAGTGGATGAAAATATACTGCAACAGGACCAGAAGCGGAGTGATGAGCTAAGCTATGACGTGAGAGAATGACAAGTAATTAAGTAATTAATTAAATGGTCGCCAGGCGTGAGAGCCCAAATTTTGCAAGTCGCGCATCTCTTTGGATATGATCGGTGAGACGCAAAGGGAGAGTGAAGCACAATGATCACCAAAGCATGCACACTCCACTGTGTATAATCCAATCGGCAGACAATTTAGATTTAAATCTATTAGCTTTGTAAGATTCCAAGTTCGCTTTTGGAGACAACCAGAAGCTACATATGTATAGGCGCTAAGCATGCGAAGGCTGTCATTCGCCTAGATATATACTACCTCCGATCCTAATTATAAGACCCAGTTGACTAATTTGGGGAAATTAAGAAACTTAGTTAAATTAGTTATTTGTAATAAATATGTATTGTTTTTTTTAACATCCCTGTTAATCAAGTTTGTTATCTAAAACTACCATTGTTAGAAGGATTACTTTGAAAAAAAATACATAAATATGATAGACAAAGTGGATCGGGGTCTTATATTTAGGACCAAAATAAAAGTCAAACAAGGTTTTATATTAAGGAACGGAGGTAGTATATACCCTAATAATTAATAATGTCTAATTGTTAATATTGTTAATTGTTAAAGACTAACAAATAAAGATTTTTGTTTGACTGGCCGTATGTGTCATGACTCTCGGCATCGCATTACCATGCCACATGGACTCGTATGGATGATATAACGTGCACAGAGGGTTGGTTTACATATTTTCAACTTTCGCCTAATATGCTGATACGAATTAATGGCTCGAGTTTGGCGGAGAAAGAAGAAAGGGTGCCCCGAAATGGGCTAGTTGGACAGTAATTTACCTCGTTTAAACAAACAAGCAGAGCAAGTAGCTTTAAACGTAATAAAACAACATAGGGAGTAATTAATGAAATCCCATTTCACTCAAAAAAAAAAAAAAAACGAAAACCTCGGGGAACATATCATGATACTAGCGACCGTAACAAGCTCGAGTCAACTAAGCCGTGGCAAATCATAACGACTTCTTTAACAGCCAATAACCGTTCTTAACTGCAACCTAATTGCCTGACAGTCGTCCGTGTATTGATGATATGGATCCCCCCCCCCCTCTTCCAGTTATATCCCGAGCCGTTGCCTTACTTAGCTCATTGGCTGGTTGTTCTTCTGGGCAAATTATTTACCATAATAAATGGACGATCATATCCATGTGGACGCCCCTCATAATTAACATTATTCCTGATAGCATAGATGAACGAAGACTTGAACAATTTGTTGTTACTGTATTAGTCGTGGGCCGGCGATGGCTTCCAACATGTATTGCTTTCTGTTCACCTCCTCTTGGAGGATGTTTGGATTACTCAAAAAATGTTTCAAGAAACATTTTTTCGTAATTAAAATAAACTCTTTCATATATTTATTTTGTATATTGTAAAAATATTTTTTAAATTATAATTTTGTTTATATCCAAACATTGTCATAGACCACATTGTCATTTTGATTCTTTACGTTCTTAAGCTCATGGTTGACCATCTCATTCTCATCATACCCCCGCTCTGTACTTGCGGGGCCCCCGCCTACTTTTATACTATAATCAACCATTGAATTAAAATTTATCAGACAATATATGGTCAGCAGGCCTGCTCCTTGCTGGAATGAATCGCCGGCACTGTTTTATTTACGACTCTGAAACGATGCAAAAAGTGAACATTAGGAAGAGCAGCATGGAAATGGGCATATTGGCTTAAAATCCGGGGGCATGGGAGACAGGTGGGAAAGAAATCAGGGGGAAGGGCGAAGAATGGAATTGTGACTCATCAGAAGGGTCAAAAAGCAGTACTTGGAAGGCCCAAGAAATGGGCGGGAATTACGAAAAGATGGATGACCGAGTTTTTTTTTCTTTTCCTCTTTTTTGCCCCAAAAAAAAGGCGGTGAACAAGGAATGTGGGGGAGCTGTCACGCAGGCCTCGTTTCGGCAGATTGTCCCTTGGTGAATGCAAAAGCCTCGCAGTTTGGAGGGCGCGCGGCAGAGGGGGGGCCTACCTTTTGTATTTTCAAACTCCCCCGAACAAAATCGATGGAGATAAGGACATGTCCGTGATGACGTGGTCCCCACCACCGTCCCTTTGGCGGGAATCACGTCTCCCCCTGCTTCCCGCCACGTCTTCAAATTCTTTGTAACCCAGGTCAACTAACCTGACCCCCACCAAACGGCGGACCGTTATTGTGCGGGGGAGTCGTGGGCGTGCCCCGCAGGACAGTTGGCGGCACAAATATTATGGCCAACAGGGGAACGTGTTCTCTGACACCCTTGCATGTGGGCATCGGACAAGGAGGGCCCCACCTCCAGGGCTATTTTAGGAACAATCTCTGCCATAATTGAATCCCTCTGCCTCGCATTGTTAAACATCATTGGAGAGGAAATGCAAGGCGGGACTCCCCCCACTTCGTCACGAATCATGCCCGCATCTGCCTTGGCCTTACGGCCGACCAAACCACCCCGGCACAAAATATTACCCGTTTTTCGGCGTAGAGAATTTGACGTTTTTTGAAAATTGTTATCCCAAACCACCCCGCCTTTTTTGTTTTTAAACCATTTTCATCACAAAATATCATGACGCACCCGTTTTTCTAATTGGATCCTAAAACACATATATGCGTAGAGAATTTGACGTTTTTTGAAAATTGTTATCCCAATTTGTAAAAATAATATTCCTCCGGTCCTTAATATAGGACTCAATTAGTGAGTTGGTTTTGGTCCTAAATATAAGACCCATTTCTCATATTTATCAATTTTCTCTAAATTACCCCTATGGATACTCCTTCAACCATAATCAAATAGAAGAGGAAAATGAGGTATTAAAAAAGATGATTATGGTATTTTAGGAAAAACGTGTCACATTTCTTATAATTAACTAACTTACCTAACTTCCTTAATCTAATCAAATTAGTTAAATGGGTCTTATATTAAAGACTGGAGGAGTAGATAGTACCGCGTAACTTTTTGCTACCTAATAGTTAGTGTAATCATGTGAGGATGTAAAAGGAATATGGAGATCATTCATTGAATTGGAATGTATTGGATTCTACAAGAATGATGACGGGGAGGAATTGTGATAGGGATGAGGTCATGACGGCTTTACATAACTAGACAAAGATCAGGATCCATTTATTTATGGAAAGAAAAAATTTTAAGAAAAAGAAAAAGGAGGTAAAGAGTGTGATCAAAATTATAAAATTAAATATATACACACCCAAAAGGAGCGAGGGTGAGTGGGAAGTACAAAGATAAGCGGCCCCAAAACAAGTGACAGAGGAAAAGCCGATCGGAGCGGCGTGGTCACCTGCGGACGTCATAATACGAGTCGGTAAAATCTCACCTTCAAAACCAAGTTAACTTGGGCCCACTTTGACACGTGGGTACGTCCTCTGCATTTCTTTGAGTCCAACGGACGCAAAGTAAACCAGCAGGGATCCGACGTGTGTCCCCAGCTGGATCGTAGACCAATGTCATTGGTAGGGCGGATGACACGTATCGTCATGGCAGGTTGACCCGGTGTCCACGTTTCAGGTAGTGCCCCACAGGAGTAAAGGGAGCTGGGCTCAGGCAGGCGTTGGTCACGCCATGTGACAATGCTCCATAAACACCCCCCTCTTTTCCGAATTGGCGCGGTTTCTAAATAATATAACAATAATAATAATAAAAAAGAGTAAAATAATAATAGTCCCATAATATAGGGATATATAAGCACACACCACACCCGCATAAACGGTGCGAGAGGAGGCAAAGGAACGAGAACAAGGCGTGCTTTGCGCCTGGAAAGAAAGTGAAGAGAGCGTAGTAACTCATCCACTGCACTTGGCAGCGCGCAGAAAAGGCGAGAGAGTTTGGTAAGGGTGGTTTGTGGCGATTTGGTCGAAGGAGGTTGAGCAATAAAAGCCAGCGTTTCGGGTTATAACGTATCGTTTTTATTCCCCAACGTCCGCACGGCGCAAGGACGAAGCCGAGGCTTCATTGCTTCAGGGGCTGGGCTGCTCTGTCTCTTCCTTTCACACATCGTTTCCAGGGCCGTTCTTCTAACGGTTCTTCTTTTCCTTGAGATTTACTCTTTGTGAAGCTACGACGGAAATATGTTGCAAAGCACCGTGGGTAGGGACTGGTCCTGTACGGATGAATACGAGAAACTTGTTTTCCGGATGAGCACACCCAGGTCTGCCTATTATCCTCCTCCTTCTTTCATATTTCCTGGTTTCTTTTTTAGTTTAGGTTTATTAGGCTGTGAATTTGTGTGTTACAATGATCTGACTTGTCCTTGGCGTTCTGAGTTTCCAATTTCGACCAATTCGTTTAGTCGGTATTGTTTTTCCATTATTTATAGGATCATCCGCTGATATTCTCCCCCTCTTTGTTAATCTTGCTATCAAAAGGTGAGTTCAGATTTGCATTAGGAATATTGAACGTTTTTGAAGCGTAAAAATTCTTATCTCCTTGTGTTCAGAAAGCAGTTCCTGGTTTTGTGCTCTGATCCATGATTCCATCATTTTTTGTTTACTCTAAATGAGTCTAATCTGTAAGATTCAATTTCGAAATAATAGTTCCAAAAGTTGAACAAATTCGGTTTGAAAAATTTTGTAGTTCCCACCTGCTTCATAAATCGATCGGTCAGAATACCAATTTTTTAACATTTGCTTGACTTTTCTTATCTCGGGCCTCTTCTAGAACGTCCTTCTCCTTTTCCAGATTTCTTGTTATTTTCTTCGCCAGATATTCTTACGACTCAGTTTGAATTTCAAATTTTAAATCCGGGACAATGTAATTTTATTGAGTACTGACTTTGACCTTGTCATTGCGTGAACAGGGTCGTCATCGACAATGCCGTTTGCTCCACAGCAACTCTAGTCAAGGTAACTTTCTGGTGGAAACCCTTTCCATTGCCGAATAAATTTCTTCCAGAAACTGGAAGGCTATTTTTCAGATAAATCCAAATATGTAAGTCGTATCTGGTTTGCTCGAATGCACAGATTGACAGCGCTAGAAGGCATGGCATTCTTTTGGATGCCGTACAAGTTTTAACTGATCTGAACCTTTCAATTCAAAAGGCTTACATTTCCTCCGATGGCAAGTGGTTCATGGATGGTAGGTAGTTTTGTCTTTTCTTTTTCTCTCTCTATAATAGGCTCGATTTTGTTTTTCAGCCGAAATGCGCCCAACGGCAGCGCACTTTAGTTTTGAGATTTCCGTTTATGCTCTGAGGCCTGAGCATTAGTTTTTTCCTTTGATTGGACAGTTTTCCATGTCACCGATCAAAACGGAAGCAAGCTAACGGATGAGAGCGTTTTAAGATACATTGAACAGGTATTTATTACTTCACCAAAAAATATGTCTACTAGTACAATTTTATCGGTTAGAAGTAGTACAACGCGGTGCATTTATTATGATTGATTTTAACGTTAATTTATTTGTGGCACAACAGTCTCTTGGAAGCATTCAGATTGGTAGAACCGACCATCCCAATGGTCTTACTGCATTGGAATTAACTGGAACTGATCGCGTCGGTCTTCTTTCGGAAGTTTTTGCTGTACTGGCACATCTGCAATGTGATGTGGTGGACGCCAAGGTTTGGACTCACAATGGCAGGATTGCATCTCTAATATTTGTAAAAGACTGCAATTCTGGTTCCCCCATTGAGGACGCTCAGAAAATTGATAGAATTGAAGCACGTTTAAGAAATGTCTTAAAGGGAGACAATGACATTAGAAGTGCGAGGACTTCTGTCTCTATGGCTGTCATGCACACTGAAAGAAGGTTGCATCAGATGATGTTCGCGGACCGTGATTATGAGAGGGCTCCCATATTCAAGTGTAATTTTGATACCCCAGTAGTGACCGTCCAAAATTGGGCAGAAAGAGGTTATTCGGTTGTGAATGTTCAGTGCAAGGACCGAATAAAGCTCCTATTCGATGTTGTTTGCAATCTGACGGACATGGAATATGTTGTGTTTCATGCAACGATTAACACAACTGGAGACCAAGCATATCTGGTAAACACTCTTTAATCGCATTACATTTCTATTATGCACAGTGGTCTTGCTTATGTAATGTACCTAAAATTGCTTAAATTGTCATTTCAGGAGTTTTACATTAGACATAAGGATGGGACGCCAATTAGTTCAGAACCAGAGCGTCAACGCGTAATCCAGTGCTTAGAAGCAGCTGTGGAGAGAAGGGCATCTGAGGTATTGCTTCTTTTTCTCATTTTCATTTGTTCTTATATTCATTTGATATACAATGTCATGGAGATTAATTGTTCACTGTTTGATTACAGGGTCTTAGACTAGAGCTATGTACAGAAGACAAGCAGGGTCTTCTAGCAGAGGTCATGAGAACATTTCGAGAAAATGGACTCAATGTGAGGAGGGCTGAGATATCCACCTTGGAAGACCAGACCGCAAATATCTTCTACGTAACGGATGCGGTTGGAAACCCAGCTGACCCCAAAATCATAGAATCTGTGAGGGAGAAGATTGGGCTGAACAAGTTGAGAGTGAAGGAATTGCCATTGATACGTCATCAGAAAGCAGATAGGGAAGATCAAACATATGGAGTGGGTGGGACAGTGTTATTGTCTATAGGGAGCCTCGTGAGAAGGAATCTATACAATTTGGGGCTCATCAAATCCTGCTCATAAAGCACAAAGGGAGCGCGGAAGATTTGTAGCATAATATTCTTTGCGTCCGGTTTGGGCTATGTGTACATAAGAAAGTAATTGTCGGTAGTTGTAGTTGGATGGAGTTTGGTTGGTGGGAAAATATTAGGTAATACACAGCTGGAAGGATTGGCGGCAACCCACCATTTTAAATGCTTTGTGTGAGGGGGCAAGGATTTGAGATAGGAGAGATGTTGTGTTGATTTCCACCATAGGCTGTGATACAGGATTCTTAGGGGTACGGCACACACAGGCCTTTAGGTTAGAGATACTGGCGAATTTGGTGTATACAGCACACAGACTCATTTGTACATAACGGTCATTCAGAGAGTATTAATTTAAGTGGTTGACTTCATATTTTTTCATATTCTAACCCGCTTCTCTGGCAATTTTTTTAAAACTCCATTATCTTCTTTATATACGTCATCTTGAAAGATCCACTATGCGCTCTATTACCGAATCTTCTTTTTCTTTTAGCGTAACTTCGGTTCCATCGAAACATTGTCGAAGATAATTTTTAGCGGGGACATCTGGTTGGCAAAGTTAAATTGGGTAAATTTTTTTTTTCCCTTTTTTGATAAGCAAACTGGCGGGTAATGTTGAATGCTCGTACATTTTGGAACTTTAATTCGGAAGGTGACTTTCCGCTCAAAAGAGATGGGCTGAGCACGTGGGGTCTATCTATAATTGAACTCGAAATTAATATTGCAAAGGTGTAGTAGGGTTAGGTTTTAAACTTCAAAGGGTGGGAAGAACATATTCAACATGCCCTGTCATGGTTCTGTGTCTCTTTATGCCTGTCCTTGTAAGGAAGTAATTGATCTCCTACGGCTTTGGGTAAACTGCATTCGGTAGTTCCGAATCAATGAGTTGGGTAAGTATTGAACATTCATCAGGAGGAATTAAAAAAGGGGGGGATAGAGAGCGCTCACACAAGGCCGTTCTCTGTTTCTTGTTACGTCAAGGGGCAGAAGTTTGCTTCCCTAGGATTCCGCGTAGGACATTTTTGCCAGCTCAAGAAAGTAAGGAATTTTCCATTTACTTAACATCCAAGTTGCTCATAAGATTGTCCCATGGATCAGCATTGCCTTGCTGATTTTATGGTAAGTTCCCTCCTGGGTGCCGGGTGATCTAAAAAGACTGGCTGTTTTTACTTGTTACATTGAAGACAAGACTCTTGTGTTCCGCTTGGGATGATTACTTTACTGGAGATTTGTATTTATAAATCAATATTAGAAGAAGAAGATGGATCAAGAGGCGTGAAATTGAAATGAAAAAAAAAATTGTAAAGATAATTGTACGTAGTATCGCAGTGGAGCGAAGGCGATGCAGAACTTGGTCATTATTCAGTAGCATAAGACATCGATTGGATCTGCTTATTTAAGTGTTTATAAGCATATTTTATTTAAGTTGAAACAAAACTATCCTTGTATACTTATCTTGTATTTTGTAAATTATAATGGAAAAGCTGTTTATTCTAATGAGGTAAGTTTTATACGTGACTGACGCATTATGCATGATGGTTACACCAGTAAAGTGAAAATGAGGCAAAAGTGGTCAAACACAGTAAGCAAGAAAAGAGGAAAAGGGTAGCATGTTGTTGGAACGGAACACACATCAGCTTGCAAAAGGAAGAGACAAAACGACGACTTGTTTTGAGCGTCATTTTAACTGTCCAAAGAAGATTCCAGCACCTCCCTCCCTCACCCAATATTATATACACGTATTATAATTATAACCATAACACTAACAGTTTGCTGTTCGTTGTTTTGGATTTTCGTGTGTTTGCAACTCTTATGCCCATCTGTTTGACCTTTTCGAACTCTTCCTGCAACTCATTTGAGAAACAAAGAAATTATGTGTGCCAATGAGATCCATTTATTGATTCGTTAATATTTTTTATATGTCTCCAAAGAAGACAAAACAGAGTCCTCTAGGATTCCATCTCTTGGTTGATTTTTTTAGCATATTTGATTCATCCATCTAGTATTTGAACATGCAGGAATAGAATTTTATTTCAGAACTGGTTACAAACATGTTAACTGGAGCACGTAGTTGCAGCATGGTCTCCTACACGTGGATTTGGTGCTGATTCGAACAACTAATAGCATGCGATAGGATGGGTCTGCGGTCAACCAAGTGAAACATAAACAAAAGAAACAGAATTTGAAAAGAAGGGACAGCAATCGCAGATGTAAATGCTAAAGTGCAGGCACGGGCCTTTTGAGTCCGTGAAGGTTGTATTGGGCATTCAAGGCTTTACCTTCTTCTACGCCTTCTTATGTCTTGGAAGGCCACTTTCCAATTGGGGCAAAGTTTAGAGAGTCCTGATTACTTATAACGATAATGATATGCTTAGATACGGTCACCTTTTGGAATATGAACCCTCCTTGAAATTGCATGATTCTTATGCAGCTTAGCAACCTCAAATTTTTAAGAAATCTGCATCAGATGCCACATTTCACTTCACCACAGAATTTTAAATTAGGTGGTGGGGTGAGGCATGGATTTTTTTTTCTATATTATACATGTGCTGACAAAAGGGTACTTGTGTTTTTATTCCATGTGTGAAGGACAAATTTGTAGGGGGGAGATTAGTTTGAATAGGAGATTCTGGCTTTTCATCTGTTGGTTTTGAGCTTATTGATCTGTCTTGGTTTGAGTTGGTCATAGAACTAAAAAAAGAAGTGAAATGCCATCTTGCTTCAAGAAATGACAAAAGATCGCTTTTAATGTACAACGAAAGTATAAAAAGGACATATGAAGAGGCTAATATGTTGGCATTCATTTGCTTCCTTTCTAGTTTTTCTTATTCTCGCATAGAACTCATACTTACAGTTAAAGAATGAGACAAAATGGGGCATCTCCAATGAGGCTCCGTTTGGACAGTTTACCGAAAAGGGATTTGTCTGTTTTCAATTTTCATTATCCCACAGTTATGGCACTCCGAAGAGATTCCATTTCCCAGCAATTTATTGTTAAATACAATAATATTCCCTGGTCGCTGTCATTTCCCTCTGTAGCATCTTATCCTATTTAATAATTTCCCCCCCGCCATGTCAGGATGGTGAGTTTAAACCAATATCCAAGGCTTAAAGCAGATTTGAGACTTCCCACTTATAACATCTTCCTAAGATCTTATTCATTTCAAGGGTAACTGGAATCTCTTAGCTGTACCAGATCAGAGAAAAATAAGCGATGAAATCTCTCAAATTGTTTTTTGGCGACAGAGGATGGGACGGAACTCCATTGATAAACCCAAATGATTCTTCTCATAAACTTAGACCTGTCTATTATCCGTTTGAGTGACCAGCGAGTATACCAATTCATGATGCAGAAAAAAATAGACAGAATGCGTTATTTTCAATTAGAGAAGGACAGGTTAGCCGCCTTCAGCCATTGCAGAGACATTAATGTGGTTATATAGTACTCCTCCGGTCCTTAATGTAAGACTCATTTAACTAATTTGATTAGATTAAGGAAGTTAGGTAAGTTAGTTAATTATAAAAAAAGTGACACATTTTTTCTAAAACACCATAATCATCTTTCTTAATACCCTATCTCCCTCTTTTATTTGATTATGGCTGAAGGAGTATTCATAGGGGTAATTTAGAGAAAATTGATAAATATGAGAAATGGGTCTTATATTTATATTTAGGGCCAAAATCAACTCAAGAATTAGATCCTATATTAAGGACCGGAGGAGTACTTTGGAATGGGAACAAGAGTATGGAATCAAGGAACACTGACGGGGGGAGAAAACGACGCAACAGCTTGCGGAAATAGATGTCGTTTTCTGATAATCTGACGGTAATCACAACTTCCCAAGATCCAAGTTGCACCACTAATAAGCCGGCCTTTGCCGTTTTGGTATTTTTCAAATAATATGTGCAAGAGAGGCTCAAGTTCTGAGGTTTGACCAAAGAGACGATATGATCATATGAATGATGGTCCTCGAGCGCCAGCTGAATCTCAAGCTTGGTTCTGCCTCCCCTACTATGTGCTTCCCCGAATAAACTCTTTTTTTTTTTTGATTTATTGTTGTATTATATTTTCAAGTTGATTATCGTTTTGGTAAAATATTCAAGTTTATTATTGTTGACTTCTTTTCTTTTTTAATTCAGCCGCCTATGTTACCACTCGCTTTCCTTCCTTAGCTTTTCTGGGTTCTCAACTTCATTGGGCTGTGGAGACCTGAGAATGGACAAGGTGGTCCTGAAATGGACTGGCTTTAGTTAGAAGCAAATGGTTGGCCCAAAGTAATATAACTGTGACGGACGGACCTGTTCAATCCGTATTGGGCACGTGACCCATCTCTTAGTTAAACTGCAACACTGTGCCACACACCATGCAATTTTTTTTTTTTTACCACGCATAGGTATCATTTTATTAAAAATAATTCTATTTGATATGCTGTCAGATACTAACGTGACCACACATTTAGATTCAGTGCTTAACTGCAAAAATTTTGCAACCAACAATAAGATTAGATCTAATGAAATGAGTTAATTCCTCACAATATAGAAAATACCTTTGTCTAGTGAAAAAAACAAGAACCATTATGTTTTAATTGGATATGGGCATGCATGCGATAAGACATCTTTATGTAAATCTTTTATCAGATACTCTCTTATTGCTCCAAATTATGCCGCACGCATTCCTTTTCATCTCCCGAAGGCAGAACGAGAGAGCGAGAGATGTAAAATGAGGCTGCTTCTGAGGAAAATAATGCCTTCGATACTACTCAAAATATAATTGATAACCTCAAACCAGGAACAAAGATGAAGATTTTGACGTCAAGGCATAGAGATTTTCATTCTAAATGATTTTTGTCTCAGGGTTGGATTAGAGTGGACGTTGATGAAAATAAGCTTTTTCACCAAACACCCTGCTTACCATTCGAATATTGTAGCTAAACTCCCAATCATCCTATGACGTATTAATCTCAGGGTTTGAATATATTCACAATAAATACGAAAGTGTTTCTGATTTCACAATGGGGAACTCAATCCTCTTATCAGTCATCTTTCTCTCTTGTTCTTGAATGGGTTGGGGCAAGGACATCGAAAATTTGAAACTAAGAAACACTTATTTAACCCAAACAAAAAGGAGGTTTAGAAACACAAAGATTAAACTCAAAGGCATGGAATCAGAGTTAATTGATGGGGATTTAAAAACGTAAATCATGATGTATTATTAAACACTCAAAGTTGATTCCGCATAGCAACGACAATATATGAAGCCGTCATTCCACCATTGGATTATTGTGCACATTCATTCACATTCTGCCCCTCCCCAAGCAGATTTTCTGCCTTAAAATTCCTTAATCCCTACTACAATCACCCACTTTTGGGCGCTTGTCGTGCTGAGAGGCATCGGTTTTAAAGCCCCTAGCTGAAAATGACAGTGCCTGGTTTCAACAGGGTAGACCATAGAGACAACGCCTAGGTTTGATGAGATCGTTGAAATGTACTATATCATTGAAAAATAATAGTTAATAAATACTTAGGATTGGTTCGGATGACGAAAAAAGAGTAGGAAGAAGAGAATAATTTGAGAGAAAATTTCCAAAGATGGTATTTTTTTTTTTTTTACTATTTTGTGGAGTTTCTTTGAATTAGTATTATCTCCTCTTTATTTTCTTTTTATTTTTCTCTCTATCCGAATTAAATCTTAACATAGCATAGAACCCTCAAAACTCAGTTTTAATAAAATTCACTCTCTTTCACCAATGACATAATTTCCAATGTAAAACCAAACACATTATTGGAGGGGTCAAGCGTCTTAATGAACAGGGAATGTTCATGTCTTGAAATGATTCCATGATTCTAAGCCACACACCACATGTACAATGAGATGCCATCTATTGCAAGCTATTTCAATATGTCTTAAAGTTTTCTAGCAACCCAAAAAAAAAATATCTTCAAATCTTTTTTTCTTTCTGAAGTATATGTATTCTTCGCAGACACCTTTTTTAACCAATATTTAAATTATGATTTGACCGCATTGTGAAATACTAATTTCTCAACCCAACTTCGCTTGGTCAAAAATTCTCAAATCCTTAAATACTTAAAAAATTATAAATTCATCTAAGTGAAGCATTTAATATATATATATATATATATATATTGAATTCCGTCTTATTTTACTATCTTGACCTCCCATTAGAAATTGGAATTCTCAAAACATGGAAAAATTGAGACCAAATTTTTCAGAGGAATATTGACCCCTTTTTTTTTTTTTCTCCCCGAACGTTGTCTATGATCTTTTATTTTTTGGGCGGGCGCTTCCACTTATTGTCCATCACTAAAATGACACTAATATATTTACAGTAGTCACAAAAAGCCATATAAATTATGCACAATGCACTTTACTTCCAAATCCCAATTACACATAAATCCCACAACCACCCCCCCAAAAAGAAGAAGAAGAAGAAGAAGCAGAGATCGGAGAAAACACTGTAAGATTAGGGGGAAAACGCAGGAGCGAAAGATGATGTATGTTGAAAAGGGTCAAAAGAAGTATAATGCAAAATAGGCCTCAAGTGGAAATTGGTAAGCCATCATCAATCAAATAGGAAGAGCCACCCTGTTTGACTGATATGGAGTCTCCAAATTGTTAGATGAAAATGTGAAGTTGAGATTGACACTTACTAGAGTCAAACCTCAAATTCATAAATATCTGCCTATTCGTTACTTTGATCTCTGCCAATTACGTGATGCCCAGATGCTTGTTGCTTAACCTTTTGATCTCTTGGGAAGCCATTTCATCCCCACAAGAGTAGTTTGATTATTAAATGCACCACACCATAAAAAAAAATATAATTTATTCATAATATAGATTTGAATTTAAAAAGAAAATAATGAAAGCCGACTCATTGAGATTCCACAGTCATATTGTGCCTGACAAAGACCTCCACTAATAAACAATCAAAGACTCATCTGTTTCATTGTCTGTAAATTGAAACCCTACCCCCCGCCATTATTTAATCCGCCCCATCTTTCGCTTTTAAATTAGTCAGGCCTGCTTATCATTCTAAATTTAAAAATAAAACAAAGTTAATAAATAAATAAATGCCCCCACCCAACAAGTTGAAACTTGAGGGCATATGCATCATAATATATCCCAATAAAAACAACAAACCAAACAAAATCAACACATTAAAAAAACACGCATCCTCCCGCAATGCTCGTTCCCCATCACTATTCAATACTTGTTCTTGTATTTTTCTCCTCAACCCCACCAAAATTAATTAAATTAAATACTCAGTCTCTTCTCATCTAAATCTAATCCTGCTTTCTTCAACCTACCTTTTTTTTTTTTTGGGTTTCTTGGGTAACTTGAGACTCTGACTTGTTACCTCACGAATTTACTGTACCATCTTCTGTCGTTCTAGACAATTATGATACTGCTAGAGCTGAATTATAAAATCTGTTTAAAACGGTGTAGCACACAAGCCAGCAACGTAAGTTGACTTGTGTGTTCAAAAAGTGAAAGGGAGACAAGAAACCATAGGAACAGACAGGGGTGTTCTGCTTGTGTGGATAATAAAAAAAGGGGAGAAAGAGTAAGAGGAGGGTGAGTAAGAGTGATAGGAGGAGGAGTGTGATGAAACAGGGGCATATGTTTGTTTGTGTTTATGTTTGTGTTGGCAAATTAATGTTTGATACGAAGAAGAGGCGTCAAAATCCAAATGTTGGCTTTTCTTTTGGCTTCAAGATTCAAACACACTCACTGATCCCACCTTTTATTAATTAAAAAAAGAAATATGTATATGAGGGATGATTTGTTTGGAAGAAGAAGGATAAGGACACAGGCAATGAGGAGAGCGCACTGAGTTTGGTACTTTCACATGTGCACCCACGAACACCCACTCCCCATAGATCCACATGATCTGCATTCGTACCCTCTTCTCTCTTCGATCTTTTTTATTATAGTTGCTCGAATCTAGTAACTAGATAACTATTGTATAAAAATTTAAAAAGTAAAGTAAGTTAATTATTTATAAAAAATTACGTGTTGGTTTTTTAAAATACATGTTTTAATTATCTGTATTGAAAACTATGTTCCTCAATCGGAAATCCCTCTAATTCTATAATTAGTAGAGAGAGTTTCTAAGAAAATTATAAATTTGAGAGGGAAAATGAATTAAAATTTTACCGGACTCAAAACAAACCGATGACTAATTCTTATACATAGGAGCATGTGAAATAATTATTCAGCGTAATATTACTAACCAGTTTAAATTTAAAAGTTATCAAGCTCCAAATAAAATAGAGCTCTCACAGGTGATTTTTTTATTAGCCATCATTATCTCAAGTTTATTTCCACTCATAGCTCTCAGCCACCATTGCAATTTTAAATAAGAGCAAATAAAAAACTTAAAGCAAGAGTGAATACTAAGTACAATACATTATAACTAGACTTTTCTTTCTTCCCATTATTACAGAAAACATTGGATTCTCAAGCACCGTCTGAAATGAAAAATAAGGTTGGTTGTTCAAAGGGGAAAAAAGGAGGGAGGAGGCGTTTGATAGAAGCAAAAGCAAGGAATGGGATGAGATTAGTGGATTAGATTAAGTAATAATACCATAATGTCAAGGCAGATTAAGTTTGCTTTGAAAGTTGGGGGGAGAATTTATGAATGCCTTGCTTTATAATTTATTCCCATTCATTGTTCATTCATAAATCAAAAGAAAAGAAAAGGCTTTTGGCTTGTTTAAGCGTGCAAAAAGCTAAAGTGCTGGTCGCTGTTCCTTTTCAATTTTCGTTTTCATTTTGCCAGTTTTGCTTCTTTTTATTCTTGGAGATTTTAATATGCTATTATATTACTAATATTAAAATTGAAAATATGATTGCACCACTTGATTCTTGCCATGCCTTGGGGCTTTTCCTTTCTCAGACAGTTCCTTTATGTCTTGGCAAGCTAATTTACTTTATCATTTACCTAAACCTAATGGTAACATGTGTGGTTATAATTTAATTAATTTTTTTTTGTTTTGCAATATTTAAAAGGGTGGAAGAGAAAGGAAGCTCCTCCCAACAACTTTATTATTGTTTATTATTATTTCTCCACCGGATTCCAACCAAAACTATATTATTATTTTCATTAAATATCATTAATAAAATATTTATTAATCCCGCGTATTCTGTGTATCTCCTTTTCCGTTTTAGTTTTTTAAATCTCAATTTGGACAGTCTTATGAAAGTTAGGAACCCAATTACTCACCAAAAACAAGGATTCATTTTATCAGACCATTTTTCCATCCAAATCTCAAAATTCAAATATCGCACCAGCACAATTTTCTGTCTTTCTACCTATTTTTTTAAAAATATTTTCTCAAAACTCGAATATTATTTTCCCCAGAAAATTTCCAGATCATATTCATCCGTTCTCTGTTTCATCGAGCTCTGCTATTTTATTTTTTTTTATGTCAAAAAATACGCAAATGGATCAAAGTTAAAGACTTTCTTCCTCTGGTTTCATGCCCAGCTTCTCAGGTTTTTAATTTCTGACATATCTTGATTTTTGCGTTGCTGTATCATTTTTCTAAGGAAAAAAAATCCGCAGAGATTAGTGTTAGTTTTGGTTCAGTGGAGTTTTGGAGGAGAAATGGAGTGTTGATGTGTAGTTTATGCATGAGTCGTTAAGCTTTTAAATATGGAAGCAAGGGATGGAATTGGCAGTGCAGTCACGGTGGTGGGATCAGATGATCCATCGGAGTACCATGTAGCTCCCCGGACGGAGAACCCAGCAACGACTGGCGGATCAACAACGCCTGCGCCGGCTCCGCCGGCTCAAGGGAGTGCTCGTCCGCCACAGACGGCAGCGGCGGGAGGTACCCCGACAACCATGATGATGCCGGGGAAGAAGAAAAGAGGCCGACCGAGAAAGTACGGACCAGACGGGTCGGTGACCATGGCTCTGTCTCCTAAACCAATATCATCTTCGGCTCCACCCCAAGTCATCGATTTCTCCGCAGATAAGCGCGGGAAAGTGCGTCCAGCTAGTTCGGTCAGCAAATCCAAATTCGAGGTCGAGAATTTAGGTAAATGAAAACATCACTCTTTCTTTTTTTTCTCTTTCTTAATGTTCACATTTGAGTACTGTAACTATACTATAACTCGGTACAAATATATTTTTGGTATCCCCAACTATTTATTTTATTTTTCCTGGTTCAATTCTGTCGAAGAAATGGATGAGTTTTAAGTAGGATAGGGCGTGAAGGTTGAACTGTGAGAGTTGAGGATGTGGGGCCTTTGGGTTAGATGCCCTTACTGAGGTCTTTGGTACGTGTGGTAGTCCCGAAAAGTAACTTAGCTTTGTGGTGTGGGTGGGTATGATATTGGGGGAATCTTCTTGTTGTTACGGCTGTGATTTGGCACTTCAAAACTTTTATTGGAAGCCAAATTGCTATTGGTGAATGGTGATAGAAGATAGATGCTACCTGCTAATATCTTCAACTGTTGTTTGAACAGATTTGAACTGAACATAATAATGCCTTCAGTTGACACCGCCAAGATAAAAACTTTTTGTTTTTTCCTTCCCGCTTTTTATTTGCTTCCGGCTGGTCTTTTGTTGTTCTTTTCTTTGGAATTGTTTGTTTTTATAGAGGACAGTGATATTATCCAACACTTCTGGAGTATGTGTGTTTTGTGTCAAGAGGTCCAAAGTCCAAGCTGACATCAGCTCCTCTTTTTGGTCTCTCTCGCATCACCTCCACCTAGTACTTGTTAGTTAGTTAGTTTCCTGATACAGTTGCGGGTGGTTCTTTCAGTTGCAGGACACCATTACACACACACACACAAATATATATTATTAGAACGCTCACTGTTTCTTGCGAGCCTATAATTCACTGCTTCTCATCCCCGATATTTATGACTCGAACTACTTGTCTGAAATAACAACTGTAAAAAGCTTCCACAGGAAAAATCTACTCTCTAACCCAAAAGACCTCAGACTTCAGTTCTAAAATTGATGTGCGGCTGCTGTATACAAGAGATATAAGCATATAGATATATATATATATATATATATATGTATATGTATACATGTATAATAAGCCTCTATGCGCATATATGTTCTTTCTTTTAACAATTTCTGGTTCAAGTCCTGGTACAGGAAGTATGTTGTTTTACTTAACAGAGCTGTAATTTGTGAGTTAATAACAAACTTGTTTTAGGAGATTGGCTGTGACAATTTCTACCTGTTATTAGAGGTCTACTTTCTTAACTGGCTGCCCTGTATTCTGTTCTAAATGTTCACATTCTCTATATGATAAAAATGAGGGATTTCTTGTATTATGATTAATTATTTATAATTCTTTCCTTTTTGTTTTTTCTTTTCAGGTGAATGGGTTGCATGCTCTGTAGGTGCTAATTTTACACCCCACATAATCACTGTTAATGCTGGGGAGGTAAGTGGCAGAAACGTTGATTGTTTATAATATTAATTTTGGTTTGGATTATGTAGTTTTATAGATTCATAATTAGGTAATTACCAAAACATTATAGGCACATACTCCTCCGGTCCTTAATGTAATACCCATTTAACTAATTTGATTAGATTAAAGAAGTTAGGTGAGTTAGTTAATTATAAGAAATGTGACACATTTTTCCTAAAACACTATAATTATCTTTCTTAATACCCCTCTCCCTCTTCTATTTGATTATGGTTGAAGGAATATCCATAGGGGTAATTTAGAGAAAATTGATAAATATGAAAAATAGGTCTTATATTTAAGACCAAAACTAACTCGAAAATTGGGTCCTATATTAAGGACCGGAGGAGTATTAAATAAAAACAATTCTGTAGTGAGAGAAACAACTTTGAGTAATAATGTCCATGTAAGCCCCAAGAGCATCCATTATTTTAACCCCTTGAATCTTTCCTCAGTTGCCACTTTGACGGCTTCATTTTCTATGGAGGTGAACAGTCCTATGTTGCATGCATTTATTTCAATGTATGCGGCGATAGCTATGCATACCATGATAGACAAGAGATCAATTACAGAAAGTATTCTCTTGCCTTCTTTTATAACTGAAAAAATGTTTATAATAACAAGCAGTCTTCTTTTGGTTATCTTAGGACGTTACTATGAAGATAATATCATTTTCTCAGCAAGGACCTCGAGCTATATGTATTCTTTCTGCAAATGGTGTCATATCAAGTGTCACACTTCGTCAACCTGACTCTTCTGGGGGCACATTGACCTATGAGGTGTGGCATTTCTCTTCTCAACTATTCTAACAGTATCAGCTTCTCTAACTCAGTGAAGAAGATATTACCATCTTTATTCTCCATGATTGGATAAGGAATGTTACTTTGACTTGTTATAATTGTTAAGATAATTGTTATTATCAGCATTTACGTGGAGATTACTTTTGCTGCTGTCACTGATAGGCTTTCATGATATGAGATTGCTGCAGCTATTTCTTCTCTAAATTTTTTTCCCGCTAATAGTATCTACTATTTTTCATGTCGTCATCTTTGGATTTGTAACTCTTCCTCAGAGCCTTGCAAAAAAAAAGAAAAAATGTTCTGCTTGATCCACACTCATCATCTTTGCCTCAACCTTCAGTAACCTTTCAATCTGTTCATCTTTTATGAACGCATTATTATATGATCTTTATCCTTCTAAAACCAGCGCCGTCTTTGTTTGTACAGGGACGTTTTGAAATTCTGTCGTTGTCTGGGTCGTTCATGCCAAGTGAAAGTGGGGGAACACGGAGCAGATCTGGCGGCATGAGCGTTTCTTTGGCGAGTCCAGATGGTCGTGTTGTAGGTGGCGGTGTGGCAGGTCTTTTAGTAGCAGCAAGTCCCGTGCAGGTACTATGTTTTTTTCGATTGCATCTTTGAAAAAGTATGTCATCACAAATTTACTGATACTTATGATCTTCTTTTTCCAACTGATTGATATGTATCAGGTAGTGGTAGGAAGCTTTCTGGCTGGAAACCAGCATGAGCAGAAACCAAAGAAACAGAAAATTGAGGTGATATCCACAGCCATACCAACCGCTGTTGTTCCCTTGTCTGCTGTCACTGATCCAGTCCCTCTCCTCACCTCTCCGTCTTCCTTCCGCGGTGAAAATTGGTCCACAATTCCGGCAGATAACCGGAATAACACCACCACCAACGCCAACACCAACAATAATACTAATGGTAATAATGATAATAATAATAAGCCAGCTGATATTAATGTGTCATTGTCTGGAGGGTAATTGCATCCCATCTGCCATCTATATTTGTTGCTGACGACGTTGTAATGGAGCTCCTAATTGATGAGTTTGTTTTTCTATTGCTTATTGTGACTGTAAGCTTATTGACAGTATCTTAGGACCACCTTGTTGTTTTCCGACATTTACAGGCTTCCTTTCCCTGTACAATTCAGTTAGGTGATTAGATCTGCCTCTGCAGCCAATGTGTTGTCGTGTTAGGTATTCGAGTCACGTTTCTTGGGAGTGATAGATTGTGAAATCCAAGCCATTCCTTTTATGTGAATGCGTTTCTTTGTGCTTTTGGTAGCATCAATGGGTTCCACTGATCTCAATCGTCGGATGTCTCTTGAAAGTGATGTTTTGCGAGCACATGGAAATATGCAGTGAAGTTAGGTTTTGGCATTTCAAGGTGCCACCTTATCACTTATCAGTTAGGGTCAGCCACTTATAACTGCATCAAACATGATACGAAATTCGTTTGATAAGACGACCAACTTCTCAGGCTGCTTATCTCGCCTGCAAGTTTCTGAAAAAGCGGAAGCAGAAATTCTTCGCAATTTCTTGATTTTCCATTTCTTTTAAAGTCTATCCGCTTGTTCTGCTTGCACCCCTGCACGAGGCTTCTCCAGAAGTGATGCTGCTTCCTCACTACTATTAAATTCAGTACGTGAATACATAATATGAAGTTGGAGACATAAATAAAATTTAATATAAATGAGGTGAAAAGATCTACGCACACGCCACTCATATTACAACTTTCTCTTGTTAGCCCATAATTATGAACAATAATTATAATGTCGATTCTCGACTTGGTAATATCGTTTACTCTCATGATGGCGTTTTCGGTGGTAGATACGATATAATTGTAACAATTGTGGGCATAATCGTGCGAGGTCGCAGAGCTTCTTCAGGTGAATGGGATAATTGGCAAGGAGTTTAAAGCTTAAGTGAGTTGATGATTGAGGCACTAATTATCCAAATGGATTATTATCCTGGAGGAATTAGGAAAGGCAGCATAACATACTAAAATCGAGAGCCATGATTTGGATGAAAATAACTAAAATGCCAAAGTTGGAAATTTTTTTAAAAAAAGAGCTTATTTTTATCTTCTCCCCCGTTCTAGATTTACCAAATCTACATCCGATACTAGTATCGTTGACTCCAAACTTCCAGAAATTGAGGCGACGATGCCAAATATATGCAATAGATGCTTAGTCATGCTGCTCATCTCGTCACTCTGTGTCTCTCTGTCTCTCTCTATGATTTCCCCCTTTTTTTGGTTTCTTTATTTTGTTTTCCTGTATTTGTATAGTCAAGATTGGCCCAAGGAAAAATGAGTATTTGTAGTTTCATCGGGGAAAATATTGTTTTGGGGAGCTGTTTCATATCAACTAATTTATAGAACACTCTCGGAATGACTAGTTTTCGGGGAAAATCTTGGGCACTCTTCAAACAACCATACTAATTTGATTTGTTTCTATCGATTCCAGGGACAGTCATTGCTGAAAGAAAGACAGGGCGAAGCAGCACAATCTTATAGTCATTTGGGAAGATAGTTGAAACATGACTATCTTTTTTTCTATAAACTCGTTGTTCCAAAACAATGAGAACGGAGAAAAGGAACCTGAAAGACAACGACGGAGGACATTAGGGTTAATTTTCCGCCGTTGAGAATATATTGATCAGTCGCATGTGATTTGTAGTACCTTAGTCTTTTAGTCTTTAGTCTAATCATCATTTTTATGGTCATTTGAAAGAAATATTAACTCCTACGTCTTGATTATAATTCCACCAACGATAATTAATTGAGACTCTGACAACAAAAGTAATTTCATTTTCAACATTAATCTGTAATTCTTTTAAAACTAGAAATATTTAAATGCCTTTAACATTACTTATACTGAGAATAAAATCAATCTAATCTATTATTACCGTGATGGGAAGTTTAAAAAAATAGTATGCAATTATGTGAAGTACTATCATCATCGAATAACATATTTTCAAAAGACATCAAGATGGTTCAGGGAATAGAAAGTCCGTCTGGGAGTCAAACACGGACTTAATTTAATTGGTTTACGTCGACCGCGAAAAGGGAGTGAAACATGATTCTGCAACGACTCCGATGCAAGTTTGTAACTCGGAGAGAAGAAAGAAAGAGATGAGAGAGCAAAAGAGAGGGAACTTGATTGAGAGACGATTGAAAGAACATTAGGACTCGAGAAAGAAGCAGAGAAATTAGTCTGACAAATGCAACTGCAAATACAAAGCAGGTAACCACATCTATTTATAGGCATTAACTGTCATCTTCTAATATTCTCCCCACTTCATCATTTATGATGACATGATCACCCAACAGTACTCCCACTAAATGAAACCCTTGCCCTCGAGGGTTTCTTATCACAAAATTTGAAAATTTCTGTTGAAATTGGAACCGGGGCATCCAGGATGCTTCCTCGTCAGGTAAGCCCTTCGACACCAAAATTTCAGTAATAATACGTCCGTTACGTCAACCAACCCTCTTGTTCAGAATCCTTTTTGGTTCTCAGCTTGTAGAGAGCTCTGACCAAGGGAGGGTGTCCCTGTTTCACCAAAGGAAATGGACATAGGTTTAACAAGGAGACATGAAATGTCGCATTTCTATTAACCAAGAGCCTATTACATTTAATCCATAATCCATCTATTTATCGTCATCAGTTGCTAAGGGTCATCACTCATAATTACCCCGACTAAACCCCATAACTAACATTTTATTTATCACAACATCATATCACTGTTCGCACGGCCGAAATAAAATAACGTAAAAAGTTAAAAACACGCAATTGATTAAGAATCCCCTAGTTTCTCCTGGCCGCAAGTTCTAACTGTAACTGATAAGAGATTATACACATTCCAGAAATGATGAAAGGAAAAAAAAAAACTTAGAGAAATTGTGATTCAGCAATATTCTCAGTAATCTATGACGAAAGCCGCAAATTCCTATCCAAGGCCAGCTCCGGCATCCTTGCGGGGCGCATCAGCCTTGATGCGGGGCGGCCTGACAATCCGATCAATAAGCCCATATTCAAGAGCCTCCTGTGCATTGAAGCGTTTCATCCTGCTCAGGTCTTTGGTTATCTGAGTAGATGCAATAACGTTAGATTTCAAGCCAATAAAACCAACGTTCTCAAATACATGAATAATCAGATGGACACCCAAAAGACCAACATTGAGACACTCATTAGAAGGATATAAACCACAAAAATAAGTCATAGAAACCCAATAGAGATTGACAAAGCATGCTAAAAGCTTTTCCATAGAACTTTACATTCTTGTTCAGTGCGTAAGTTGGTAAGGCAAAAACGGTCATGAATTTGGCAGAGAGAGGCTAGCCTGATCATGACGTTAGTCATTCAGTTCGTTTATCTCATGATTTTCATTGAGCAAACTCACCTTCTCAACAGGCTGACCTGTTTTACTGGCCAACTCATTGAATAGGTAATCTCTGATTCTAAGAAGCTCATTTGCTTCATTACGGATGTCATCAGCCTGGCAAATTGAGTGTCAGTTAGCTTCAACAAGAAATTCCCAGTCATTGATGTGAAAGCGGATGAATGATGACAATAGTGATCTCAGAGTTAAGGCAGTCTCACCTGACCCCGGGCAGATCCTGCTGGAGACTGGAGAGCAATTCTTGAAAGAGGCATTGCAAAGCGGTTGCCCTAAAAGCAGTGGAACATTATGAAAGGATATTAGACCTTCAGTTGTCTTTCAAAACAATTGAGGTCAAAAGCCTCAACAAAAGGAAAAAACATGAAAATGAATGCAAGAACACAAAAGGAACTCGGCCCCAAAAAAAAAAAACAAGGAATCAGAATACTAACATTAATAACGGGAAAGCAACTCAAAGCATACTAATGTCTCTTTTATGTTTGTTGCAAGGGGAGGATGAGTAATGGAAAAAATGAGGCGAAGGGGAATTGCACAAGGGAAGTAAAATTAATGGTTTCAAAATCCCTATTCAAAGACATCCTGCAGCATCAAGAGCTCACACATAGCCATGGGAGCAGAGAAAGGGATTTCTTTCTTCTGTTTTGGTTACAGACTCTGATTTAATGTCTCAGTCAAAGGATTGGTACAGGTACAGATTAATGAAAAAGATAAAAACTCTTCCGTAAAGTAGCACAACCATAAAGGTCAAGCAGCGTCCATTGTAAGTGGGGATTTGGGAATCTCGATACATAAACCCCTCCTATGACAGTCAAGTCTATAGAAAGTCACATTTAAGGGTCAAAAACTATCTTAATTTTGTACCTTTTCCCCAGCGGCAAGAAGAAATGCTGCCAGATTATAGGCATAACCAACACAATGGGTGGCAACAGGACTTTGCAAGCTCTGCATGGTGTCATATATAGCCATGCTTGGCGTAAGCTGCAATAAGTTGCAATTTGAGCTGATGTAACTGAAAAATAACAAAAAAAGAAAAACAAAACAAAAAACAAAATCTTGAATCACTGAAGACTCACATCTCCACCAGGACCATTAATGTACATATAAAGCTTCTTGGAATTATCTACACTATCAAGATATAGCATAGTTGCCAGTATCTGGTTGCTGAATTCTTCATCTATTTCTTCTCCAATGAAGATAACACGTTCACGATACTGCATACAAGAATTCACTGGTTTTCTTAGGGGGGGGAAAACACGCGCACTCACACTCCAAAAGGGTTAGGGAGATATAGAGGAAACTGGATGTCCGCATTAACAACTTACAAGGGCATTCCACAGATCAACCCACTGCCAGGTTCCCTCACCAGGCGTTCTGTAGGGCACTCTAGGGGTCCCTATGGGCATCATCTGAATTCGCGCCCTTGTTGCTCTGTGGTTTTCAGACCTGGAAACGTGAAAATTTATGCTGCCAGCATTAGTCTATACACTCATACAATACACAACATTCATGAAGAAAACTCTCATGCAAGGAAAACCATGAAGGATCGAAAGTGCCATGCTTTTGCATTTACAGTATTTCATAAGAACCAGGGATACAGGGAAATAAAATGAACCAAGAACACAGTAGCCCAAATAATCGCAAAGCAACCAGCCAACCACATTGAAGTGAGCATACTAGGAGTAGGACACGGTTGCTTCCGACAAGGTTTACAATGCAAAAGAAAGGAAAGATAGCTGAAAACATTTGTCCCTCCTATCCAGAGGTGGCAGTCTGTGAAACGCAAGAATTCACTTCTATGGCACTAACCATCTAATTTATTTCTTTCTGGTGTATGGTAATGAGTGGAGAAGAGCATACATCAATTTTTTTTCCCTTCTAAA